GATCGGTATTCCTGACACGCGATCAAGTCCGTACAGATCATACCAATCGACGCCGACGTTCGCGGCCGGCCGACAGGATCGACGCGCGAATGGGCGAATTGTGAAATATCGCGTGAAATATCGATCGGCACTGCTCGTGAACGAGCAAACGCGACTGCAAACCTCTCTCAGCTTCGACGTGCTCCTTCTCGTTGACTTTGAAAATTTCAAAAGGTTCTTACACATCCGGGCGCGACCTTGCGTTTCCGCTGTGCTCTTTCCGTGTGTTGTCTGGTGCTTTTCTTTTCTTCTCGGCTTCTCCTCGGCGGTAATCAAATTGCGTACTCTTGTATAAGGCGATTCTCGCATGCCGCGTGTCGTCCAAATCAACTCCATGTGCCTAAAAATGTGATCAAAAACACGCTGTTGCGAGGCGCAACACTCGCTCCGAAGTGTTTAGGTTTCTCGTTGTGCGGCTGGGTAATCATCGGTCCCCGCATGCATTATCATCCTTCCGTTTTAGGCGAAGGAGTGAGCTCGAGTATATCTTGTAATACTCTCGGTATGAGGATAATTCAGAAGCGAACCATGAATCGTTTAACGATGTTTAATGATGTGTTTCAGCAATAATCAAAATGGTAGGGGGAAATTTTTTACCGCACACGAGGCAACGGAAGTTACGCGTGTACACATTTTTACATTCATTTTTCTGACCTCAACACCGTGGTCGCTTTTATCGTTTTATCGAGAACTGATTCTGCAACTGACGCGCGTGCGATCGAATTCGGTTCGAATTGTGTTTGTTTGATTTTCCGTAAAGTCCGTGAGAACACTCGTACGTGTCGTAGTTTTGAGACAGTCGAATTTTTTTCTTTTTTTACTTTTTATTCTTTGTTTTCTTCGTTTTCGGCGCTATATGCGAGTCACACACAGCGAAATGTTTTCCAGATGTGATCCGGCGAAAAGGTTCGACTATAATTACGAAGATAAGCGAACGCGATTTATCTGTTGTACTTTTATTTTTATACGCGTGCGTGTGAGACGCGGTCGACGATGTTTTCGATTAACGCAATTGTCGATCCCGTACGAAACGTGAAGGCGAACGGAATGTGTCTTCCAAGTTTTCCATGTTACCGAAGCATAAAAGAGCCGAAGTACAGCACGAGAGGGGGGGAGTTGTATTTTTCACGCGATTTTGCGCTGGAGAACGCGAAACAGAGGCAAGATGTACACAGTGGTGAAAAGACTGAAAATAAAAAAAGAAAAAAGAAAGAGAAAAGAGAAGAAAAGTCGTGCGAAGTGAGAGATATACATTTGTTATTAACATGTGAACGATGCGAGACATATGGGCGACTGCATCCTATTGTATGTATACGCAAGCGACGTTGTTGCACTTCTCTTCTCGCATGCTAACGGGAAATTTTTCATTCTCTATTTTGTATTCTCTCTCGGGAATTTTCTTCTCAAATGTGTTTAATATGTTTTCACCTGCGCTCTCTCATCTATATATATGCAATTATTTTCTAATAATCTGTATGTTCCTCTTATAAGTGATATATATCTATTATTTCAATCAGCTTCAATAATTATATCCGAGGATATTTGATAAAATAAGCTAAACTGTGATTATTTTTGAAATTATATCATTAAGCAGTTGACGATAATCTATGATAACGGCGCAATCACATGAGGGAAAATCCCGTTAGCGTGCGAGGTGCAATCTTGTAAGGACAAAGGACAAATTGTAATTAACGCGTGCGATATACGCACGTGTTTCCGCGTTGATTTTGCGATTTTCGTGCCAATATAAGTGAGGCCAGCTATGCAATACTCGAGTCATCGTGCAAGCCGACGAGAGGCTGTACACGAGATGCCTATAGGGTTATTTTGAAGCCACCTTATATATATATATATATATATAAATATATAAATAGATATATAAATATATATAAAGAAAGATGAAAGAAAGAAAATATATATATATACAAAGAGAGAGAAACAAAGATTATATATATATACACATACACGAGTACACGTAGAACTACACACACGCGCAACTGTATATGTAAATATGCATCACGAGATATACATATACGTATACATATACGAGACTTTCGAACACGCGGGCGGAACAAGTCTAAAGGGGCAATGCGAAACCAAAATAATACCTCTAGCTATTAAGGTGATCGACGATAATAATTAGTACGTAAGCGTTTCGGCTCCTGTCTTGTTTTGGGAGCATTTCCGAAATATACAATTATATGAGGATACGGAACAAGAAAAAAAGTATAAATGGGAATTTCTCGTGACCCCCACGTACGGTGATCTTTGACACTGTGACGACAACGCTCGACAACGGTAACGACAAAGACGCTTAATTACTTCCGTATGGTGAGAGGAACGTTTTCGTGGCTTCTGTGTCGCTACAATTTAGTTGGATTATCTCGCGTGTATTTACGTAACACGTTTTCAAAGTGATTCTCACGGGTGTGTGTTTTCCGTTTTTCTTTTCACAAAATTGCAACGGGTGTTTCCGGGGAATCCCCATTCGAATGGCGATATGATATTACCAAGTAAACGGCCGAAAAAGAATGCGTAACATTGTTCATTAATGTGTAATACTTTCGAGATATATCTGCGATTTAATATCGAGGATCCCGTCGATTCAGGATTCGACGACGAATTTGTTTGCACTTCCGTAGTCCCGATCTGTGTTTCTCTTTTAAACATATGCTGTACTCTTCTTAAAGGCGAAAATATTTCACCCGATTTATAATAATTTACAAAATATCTCTCTCCACCGCGGCCCGCAAGTGCCAAAATATTACCGACCTCTGCATTACATACCCTATAAGCATACACGTATATATTTATGATTTTAGATCTTCCTTTTTTTGCGAATTTCGAATTATTGTCGCAATTATGGGTGTATCACTGATAACCGTTGTGTTAGCGAGGATACTCAACAGATAATAAAGAAATGAATTTAATTATTCAGCCAGATAAATTTTACTCGGTGCCCGCGCGCAGCGTCTCAAATTTTTCGTCATCGATTCATCTTATCTTGTTGCTTGTAATTGCAAAACAAATACGAAGAAGGAAGAAAAACAAAATGATTCGACAAGTCCTATAAACGTTGTAACGAGATACAATAATTTTACATCTTGCGATTTTTCGCAAAGAAATTTCTGTTGAATTCAGTCGATCTATTGTGACACGATTGTGTGTAAGTTTTGTCATTCAGCAATTCGACTTCACATTCGTTAGTAATTTCGGATAATTATGTTCTTATCACAGGTACCCGCTTGCGTCATGTTGAGGCTGTAATACAACGGGCAAGATATTTGTACGTATCAATTTCAATGAAACGAGTTGACGTTAAATTGTCCTTTATAACAGCGACAGGTTCTTCGGCGAAACGAAGAAACCCCCAACGACGCTTCAGCGATCTGTCGATCGTAGAAGTGGCCACATCGAACAATAGATTTCTCTTTCTCATCTATACCGTTCTACGTGCGCGCAACGTTTATTCAAGATTGTTCTCACATGCAACGAACTTGTCTGATTGTAGGCCTCCCATATGTACATCAACCTCAATATCCGCCTCTGGACAGCAACAAACCCTTCGTGTGTGATCGCTGCGGCAGGAGGTATAAATTGAAGTGGTCCCTACACTGCCACAAAAGGGACGAATGCGGTAAGGCGCCGCAGTACAAGTGCTGTTACTGTAATTACTGGAGCAAAATACGATCGAATTTGACTCGTCACCAAAAGATCCACACCGAACCGGGTGAACGTAAGCGGAGGGCGCTTGTGATACTTTGAAATTCTATGGAGAGCTCGCACGAAACAGATCCGAATTTGTAAGAACGTCCAACGGCGTTTCTTGCGTGAATTTCCAAGTTCGCGTAGAACTCTCTATTCCTTACTATTTCGAAGAAACAGCGGCGGGATTGCTCCGATTCCGGTACAATTTTAAATTGAAATAATCTCACGGTTATCGGTGTATCGAGCGATAAACATTTATAACTGCCCATTCTGATTAAAACGCCATACACTGAATTTCATAAATCTGCAGTCTCATGTCTTGACGTGGTGGCGTCATGGTTTGAAATTCTCAGTCAGGTACATTATATCTAATGATTCGTGTGAAACATGACTGTTAATTAACAATAATTGGTTAATAATAAACAGTAATCAACAGTCATCATGTACGATCCACACAGTCGCGATTGTCATAGCATTCAAAAATATTACAAGTGAGAAATGACAACTAACTAGAAATTCCATAATGCTGATGATATAATAACACCATGACGAGAATAGATTTCGCGAGAAAAGGGGAAAGTATTATTTAATATCGTTAAAGAATATAAAAATAATTGAAGAACAAAGTTCGCGTACAGAATTATGTCCATACTCAAGAAAGATTTTCAGGACAAGTTCAGAAGATATTTGATGTTCTTTTTAGCGAAACGTACCGTCGTTGTGCGTTCTTGCTAGTTCCTATAGTAAGAATAATTTAATAAAGAATAATTAGCGATTTGTTGTTAATAAAGATCTGCATGCTTTTGTTGTTTGAGAATTATAGATAACTTCCGAATAATTTTGTGTGCTAAATACGAATTTGGCCGCAGAAATTATTTATTACATCAGCTTTTTGAGATAAATAAGATAAAATGTTCATTTTATTAAAAAATGATGATTCTTTGGTTTATATTTATAAGGATATATAAGGAGAGATAAGGAGAAGAAAGTATTATAGAGTATTATAGAGTATTATATATATTAAAGTACACAGAGACAACGATTTAGTTGAATCAATCAAAAAATTTATTTGGACTATTCCAAATAAGCATTTGTTAGATTCAACTAAATCGTTCTCTCTGTGTACTATAGAGAAAGCAAATTCTTTCCTATATTTTAACCGACGGCTTCATGTAGTCTATTCTTCCACGTTGGCAAATAAAAATTGATTTTGAAGAGAAAAAATAGTACTATATGAAGTTATCGATCAATATATAAAAAAGAATTTGGTTCTCTGTAATACTTTCGTATGAATCGGCATTTTTTTCTTTTTTTACGTTATTTATATTAGAAATCAGACGTGATAGGCAATTTCTGCGGCCAAATTCATATTCAGTCTACAAAATTACGGTAGGAAACTACCTATAATTCTTAAACAACTTTTGACATTCTTCATTTTGCAAGCTTGTATAATTATTATGATATGTTGCATCGAAATTAACGCGAATAATTTTCTAGTCGGTAAGATGCTAATAAATGTATTAAATATGTTTAACGAATGTTGGGCGTATTCGTTATTGCAGAATTTGTGTAATTATGGCAATACTTTTATGCTTATCTATCATTAATAATTGTTATATATTACATCGAGATTAAAATTCAACAATTTTTTAGTCGGTAAGATGCTGATTGTAAATGTATTACGTATGTTTGATGAGGTATCGAGCGTATCTATTATAACAAAATCTGTGTAATTATGTCATTACTGTTGCGCTTATCTATAAATCTAATATTAAGTGATTTCAGGAAGATTAGAAGAAAGCCGCATTACACACATGTATAGTTTTCAATTGCATTTTTTAAGTTTCAGATATATCTTTTAAGAAAGCCACTCGTCGTCATAAGAGGAAAAACCGACAAAAGTGGTAATTATATCTATTAAAGGATATCACGCGGATGACTTAGTATATATCGTCGAGATTATCCTTTGAAGTAACATTCAAGAGGTCTAGCCAGCGGTTATTGTTTATTAAAAAGTTATTAATAAGAAAAATTTCATAAACGCAAGTTTTCCACACAGCGTATATATAAATATGATAAACAATACACGAATATGAGCGGAGACGGAACTCTTTTTCTACATTTATATATATAGGTTGTCTCAAAAACTTACATTCCATTTATGAAACTTCTTCTATTAATCATTTTTAATAAATAATGATTACCAGGTAAAATCTCTTGAATATTACAATCTTGATAATAATGAAAAAATAAGAGTTATCGGCATAGTGTTTCTTAATGTCAATTACCATAATGATCAAAAAGAATTTAAACAATCATTTAGTTGAGATTTGTTCTCAAATGAAATCAAATAGTAACGAATTTATTTTTTATGCGATAACGTATTTACGTGTAGAGGTATTCTATTCACAATCAACACGATTTCCTAGATGGAAATTTAAACGGCAGACCAAAGTTAGTCTCAAGCCAAAGTTTAACGTAAGAGGAGTCTTAGCCATAGATTTATACTATATGATAGCATAGTCAGATACGATAATGTTAAAATAATATAAATGAAGAGAAAACTAAGAATTCACTGATTCGAATTAAGTACTTCCGTTTTTTAGTAAGTAGTTCCACAATGCAGATGGAGTTGACGCCAGGTATGTTTAATCTATCTTTAGTGTTCAAAAAACAAAGCTTAACGAGCGATTAGTGACTATTGGTCTTTACTGTTAGATCCTTACATTCAGACCAATAACGTTGATGAATTACTCAACCGTTGTGCAACTATTATGTTTTCTGAACGCATATTACTATCAGGCCGGTTGCACACAGGACGCGGCACACTTGTCGCGCGGCGGAAGTTCGCTAGGGAATGCTACGATAGTCATTTAGCATCTTGCTTGCCCGAAAATATTATTTACGAAACATGCGGCATATGGGCGTTATATAATTGGTTACTGCGATATTCCCTAACTATAGACATAGTATACCTAGACTGCGCGAGAACGCATCTGGAATCGATATTCATAGTTGGGTCTTATATAATATCTAAAATCGTTTTAAGTTCACCTTTAGATGTTGTGCAAGCTACTTCATTGGCGTATCTGAAAGTGAACTTAAGACGGTTTTAAATATAAGACCTGACCATGAATACTTGCCTAGGTATACTATGTCTCTGTCCGTAACCAACTTTCGTACGTGGCAGGTATGCCGTATTCTGTATGTGCAACTGGCCTTATACGCTATAAAGCAACAGTGCGACCTCTTGTCTGATGCATTTACCTCTACACACACATTGTAAAAATAAAAGAAGTCATCTCTATATAAATATAGAATCGTGAAACCCGATAATCCTCCGTTTAGTTTCTCGTCTAAAACTTTTTCGTTTATATGTCGCATTAGTTTTTCGAAATATGTTGTGTGTCTGTATGTGTGGGGGAGGGGGGGGGGAGAAATGTGTGGGGTGAAAGTAGTTATGTGTATGCAGATTGCATAAGATTGGAACTCCTGAATTTTGTTACTTCTCCGCAACACTGTACTTTTTTGACATGCGACATGATACGTGATGAATCACACGATATCTCATAGCATCGATCGTATCGCAATACTCTTACGTAATTACGTAGATCTGAACATTGTTGAGACACATATTCGAGGATTAAACGAGTCTAATCCTTCAGAATGATACGCATGATGCATCTTTCATCGCGCTTGCAACTTTCGGTCATCACTCCACGCGTCGCAAAGTCACCCCCTGCCCTCTCGATTCGACCCGGCGTTCGTTTGCATCCGATTAAATCCGACAGGAATGCCGACGTTTTCATGACCCCAACTACATCGACATTTGCTCTAACCGGCTCCAACCGTTTTCTGCTTCCTTCATTTGCAGATTCAAGAGCGTGGCTGTTGCAGCAAAAGCACAAGATAAGGCTGAGTCATGCGCCCGAGAAGTTCGTCGACGTGACGACGCTACTCGACAAACGGTACGCGTGCGACACTTGCGGCAAGTCATACAAATGGAAAGAATCTCTCTGCAAGCACCAACGCATCGAATGCAGGAAGCAGCCACAGTTCGTCTGCAATGTGTGCGGCTATCGTTTCATGCATAAGCACCATCTGACAAAGCACGTCACGAGGATCCACTTCGATCATTTTTTTTGATTGAAATGGAGGGATGATCGTGAAGTTGATATGTTGGCTTTGCTGCGTCTCGTTGATTTACATTCAGAACATAACTAATTGTAATTGTTACGAATTAAAAATGTGTGTATGTGGATAATGATGATGATAATGTGTGTGTGTGTGTGTGTGTGTTTGAGCGTGCGAGCAATAGGAAGCTAATCAAGTCAGCGTAACTAAAATATGCATCAGCAAAAGCATATCTTTACTGTGATTTTGGTTGCCCGAACCTTACAAGTCTTCGTTAGTCCAGCTTTGGAAGCGATCCATGGAAACCGGCGTAGCAGTCAATGTGTTAAAGCGGATCTCGATGAGATTCAAGCGAGTGATATGTATCTTTATCTTTCTCCAAAAGCGGCTTGAGAATATATCCAACCTCAGTACGCTGGATCGAAAGAAAACTTTTTCCCATGTGCGAAACGCGCTGTTCTGCACTAAACTAAATATCTAGCCGCGCAGTCTATGATTGTAACATTTGAATTACAACATCGTGATTTTATTGTAAAAGAGAAATAAAGACACTACCAGATATAATCCGTAACACCGTGGATCAGTGGTCACATGTTTTTCGTGTTATTTTCATGTGTGTAACTCGTCACCTTTCTCGCATATTATTTCGTTAACTTGTTTTTTTCTACGTAGTATATAGAATATATAAATTAAATTATATGCATAGGCATTTCAGCAATCTCCCCGTGACCACGATTGCCAGTCGCAAAGCTGCAAACCATGGCGCACCAATCAAGTATTTGTATGCAACGATAATTGACGAAATGCCGTTTTGTGTCGACGTGTTGCACGTTTGTCGGTAGGTGGAACGAAAAGTGCCAAACAATCTCGAAAGATCTCGCGATCTGATCGATCGGTTGTCTTTTTTCAGGTGACGTGCATCAGCGGGAATCCGATGAAGTGAACCGAGAGCTACCTAGCTACCTTCTCGCAGCCAGCGCGACCTTGGAGCTTCTCAAGAGAAGGAGAGAAGGACTTCGCGAGGAAGTGCTCCGTTTTCTTCACCAGACTTTTATAACTTGGACATTTTTATAACATTTCTCGTTATCTTCAATTCGGCATGACCGTGAATTGGAAACATTGTAATTAAACGAATGCCTATTTTTCTTCTAATATCTACAAGGAAGAGAGAGGAAGAATATATAAAATCTGTTGCATTGTTTACAATTATTTCTTGCGACCTAAACATAACGAATAATTTAATAACACGGTGCAGCTTCCATATAAGATGTGTTTCTGTAAATAATATGCACAGCTTTAAAACAATGAGAACTATGAGAACGGAGCGTGATAACCTGATGAACCAACAGATTTCATAACGCTTCTTGAAATTCGCGTGATTAAACACGGTGGAGAATCCTACTTTTCCCTGTAACAACTGATTTCTCTTGTGCTGTGTCTATTGAAACTTTATCGACATCATTATTTTGTTCTAGGTTTATATTAACAAACGCAAAAAGAACCTGCCATATACATCCCCTAAGAAAATAGGTGTTATTCTGTGAGCAAGAAAAAATGCGAATGAGGGCATTTTTAAATCGCGAATGCGAAAGATATGATAGTGTGAAGTTTTATATCTTTATATCTGATAACAATGTATGTATTTTTCTTAAAGCGTGAAACAACGGAAGTTGTTGTCCACATGTTGTCCTTGTTGATCAGAGCAAATAGTATGTTTGCTGTACTATTCTTGTTCTGTTCCAGTTTTGTATGATTTTTTAAGTTCCCTCTATGTCTATGTTATATCTGTCTATGCAAAAATGAATGATACGCCGTATACATATCTTCCTCTTTTTTTTATGCCGACGTGTACAGCGCAAAAATCTTCTCCGCCGATACTCCTTTCTCTCCCACCAGCATTTTGCACTTTTGATCGACGATGTAGCGGTCTTGTACCGTCTATTATTATGTTTACTTATATTGTGTTAATTTAATATTAATCCAATGGGAGGAGTACCCATTTGTACTAACACGGTAAGGTAATCAGGGTCATGGTCTATTCGTTCAGGTGAAAGCATGCGCGGTGAATGTAATCGAGCGCTGAAAAGCGTGAGGAAATTTAATAAGATATATAATAAAAATGATTAAAAACCGCTAGAACGTTCGATCGCACGATAATTTGATAATTCGTTAGATTGACAACGAATAACCGAGCGACATTGATTAACAGGATTAACATCGATCTCACTGTTCGTCCGTACACCACGAGATTCTCTCCGTAGCGGATCTTCTCCGACATATGCCGGGTGTGAATCGGACGAGCGGCTTTTACGACGCGATCAGTCTGATTACGATTAATCTCTCTGTCATTTACAGCTCTCAGCTACTCGATGACCAGCAGCAGCGGCAGCAACGGGTCGTCGAGCCACAAAGCGTTCGTGTGTCTACGTTGCGGCAAGAGCTATGCCTGGAGAGTTTCCCTGTACCGACATTTGCGAGAGGAGTGCGGTAAACCGCCGCAATACAGGTGCGACTATTGCAGAAAGATGTTTAAACAGCGCTGCAGTTTCCAGAGACATATGAAAAATCAGCACAGATAGCAGCGTCCGGACGCTGAGGAAGGAAGTGGCGACCTGTGTGACGACAATGTGCGAAAGGTTGTTCGGAGGGAATTGGAAAGATTGGATCGATCGGCAAATTCACATGATAACATTAACGCTAGAAACGTTGTAGAAACGTTATAAAAGAGTAACTTCTCCTCATCGGTTTTCGAAATACAAAAACTAAAAGAAACAATGAGGATGAAAGCATATTCATGCGTCATATATTCGTCTACACTGAAAATAATGAAGAAGATGAGAAAAAGAAGAAGAAGAATAAGAAGAAGAAGAAGAAATAGAAGAGATATAAACCTTCTGCACCTATCTATCTATCGATAAATAATCAAACGACAACTAGAATATTTCTGAGTTCCACTCTTGCATAGATTTTTATTTCCTTAATATTGTTTCGCTGAGACAACTAGCGTGCCTGCCTAATTCTCCTCATTCGTTGCTGGTTTTGTGAGGTTTTATCATCACGCAGAAAAGAGACTAGACTTTTGTTCTCAATACCTCCTATACCAATACTCGTATATTCCTAGACTCCTTCAGTATCATTTCCTGTACCAAACTATGAGATGGTAAACTGTAATAAAAGTTTATCCCTCTATAAATTGGTCTTATCCGAGTCTTGTAGAGCAATCGTCGTATGCCAACTCGCAAGATCAGCCCAGAAGACCGAGAAGATTGACCGAGAAGACCGACCTGGAAGACATCGCAAAATTACCTTCATCAGTAAACGTAAGAGTCGTCACTCGTTGATTGAGGTTTTTATTTCGTAGGAGTTTGAATATCGCGTCTATTTGAACTACGTCGCCAAAAAGTCTGCCACTGTAACACGATCTAACGGCTGTCCATTTTCCTGTGATCTTGCTTGTAGGGAAAAGATAGTTGCTGCGTACAAAATTGGTTCGAGTCGAAGATTGTTCGCCAACATAGTTGGGTCGTGCGCGCTTAGATATCATGTTAATCACGAATGAAAATGGCAAGCGCGGAATATACCATCGCTTAATCGAAGAAAGATTTGCGGGAAAGAAACCTTCCAATGACAAGCAACGAAGCCGATTTGATCTTGCGGTTGCGAAAGAACGGAAGTGTTGGACATAATTTAATTGGCCCACGCGAACACGGAGGATTAAACGGTTGAGAAGCGTCCTGCATGACGCTCGAAATATTAACATTAACCCAAATATCTCGGGTAGCGTGATAGTGAGATTCAAAGGAATGTGTACCGATATGTATTTTAGTGTCAAAGGCATATTCAGCACACGCGGATAAGAAATTGAAGGCTATCTTAGATAATTTTTTTTAAAGAGAGATTTTTTATAAAGAAGAGATAATTCGAGGGAGTATTCTTTGGCGTCACGCCAGTCTCGTATGGAAAAAGAAGGGAAATCTAAACGTCGATTATCGAGAGATAAATAAAATCACAATTAAAGATAACTTTCAATTCTCCTCTGATAGAAGATCATTTAGATCGATTAAAAGATAAAATTTACAGCAGCCTATATTTGAAAAGCGGATCCCATCAGGAATAGCAGAATCCTCCGTTAAATATACGCTTTCACTACACCGATGGGGTAATTCGAGTACCTGAAAATGTCCTTTGGTTTAACAAATGCACCTCCGGTATTTCAGCGGCATATTTCCAACATTTCAAGCCAATGATTAGGAAAGATAAAATTTTAATTTATATGGATGACATATTAATAGCTATAGAAGAAATGGAAGAACCTCTAGGGATTTTACACGAGGTATTTGATATCGCGCGTTAATATAAACTCCGATTTCGGCTAAATTTAGATTAAAACGCTAACCTAGCGCGGTGAATATTGAATCAATTATTATTATACAATTATTATATATTATATATTATAATAATTATATATTATACAATTATTATATATTATAATAATTATATATTATACAATTATTATATATTAAGTATCCTATATCGCATAAAATATGAAAGAAGTTCAACACTCTACGAAACTAGTCGGTTATTTCCGGAAATTTATCCCAAACTTTCTTATATCATAGCAAAATCCCTATACGAATTATTAAAGAAAAATGTCGAGTTTAAATTCGGAGTCAAAGAAAATGATGCGCTTGATGCATTAAAGGAACGTTCATCTAAGAAACCAACATTAGCAATCTACTGTTCGACCGCAGCCATAGAATTATTTCGTAGTTTTCGCATTGTGATGCGAACGTCGCAATGCGAAAACAAAATGACGGATATTCTAAGCCGATATTATATTTTAGTCATAGAACACCCGCGAAATATCGTTACCGTAGCTTTGAACTGGACTGCTTAGCTGCTATACGCGATAAAAAGACTTCACCTATATTTGACCAGGATCAGATTCAACATCTACATTACTAACTGCGATAGTTTACCCTTAGTAAACAAATAGTCAACCCGCGGCTAGCACGCTGGGCTATGTTTCTTCAACAACATGATTACACGAATTAGTACACCGATCCGTGTAAACACGTGGACGCGCTCAGCTGATGCGATAGCAGCATATAATACGTTCTTGAACAGACTTTTCCCATAAAACAAGGCCAGGACCAGAAAATATGCGGAATTCGTGACGTGAATTAGAAGAGACTAACGATAGTTCTACGAACTTTGAGGTGGACTTATCCAACGAAAAATTAATAAGCGGAGAATTATTATCTTACGTACCGGAATCTATGAAGCGCGAAGGGTCACATAAACAAAGTTATCTTAAATCTCACCAAGGTATATTGATTTCGCGATATGCAAAGGAAAGTGAGAGAAAGCATAAAACATTGTTCGAAATATGTAGAATTCCCACTACAGTATAGAAAAACGAGAAGATATATTTGTATTTGTGATATACCCGGATATCAGGAACTACCATATAATGGCGTAATGTCTGCAGATCGCATAAAATCCTGGATATGCGATTAATGTGCATTGTAGGTTGATCTCATTTTGATTACATGTTGACTATGTTTACCCCTTTGTATAGTTATGAAATAATACTTGATGTTAAGTTTAAGTTTGTATCGATCAGGATGATCGAATTATTAAAATGAACGAGTTATAGGAATTTTAGAATACCGCGTCTATCTAACTAGGTCTATCTAATTAGCCAAAAAGTCCTCCATGGTCTACTAGTAGCTCCCAATTTTCCTTTGATCTTGCACATATATCTTGCAAATAAACATCTGTGTGAACTTATTTCAACCATCCTAACAACATCACGATTTCTCTACACTTTATTCCGAAAAAAATAAAATAAAACGGCTCTCCAAGCTTTTATAAGTCGCAAGCATCACGATTCTCAACGACACAACCGTCAGGAAATATAAAGCGGCGTCTTGAAGAAAGAAGGAAGCTTCGAAGAATTTCTCCGAAGATTTCACCTCAACGAGTTCCTCCCGCGCGAAGAGTTCTCCGCGTTATACCTTGCCGTGCATCTGCACGGCGAAATTTCTTCTAAATGAATTCTCGCGTTTCTTTTACTAACCTACCGCTTCCGGTATGCTTTACATTGCAGACAGGAAATTGATATCAACTATGATACCCAAGATTAATAATCATGCGTTTTAACTTTATTACACTCATGGAAGATCCTATACGCGCGAGACGAGTGCAAAAAGAATTCGCGGTAAATTTGCTACGTCTGCAGGAAGAGCAAGCAAAGGTCCAACTTCCAGCAACACTGCCGCGTAAATTCCTCCTCAATCTTCCCGGAAGAACCGCTTACGTGAAACAAAAATGCTGTCGTACACAAAGCAAAGCTTGCTGGTATTAATATGACAACGAATGAACGAGAATATGTTTTGGTTGACGAAAATAGAATTTTTGATTTTTTGAATGAAATTCGGTAAGAATTAGAAATTTTATTTCCTTCAACGGAAACGCTTTGACGTGTTCGTTGTCATGCTAATTCGACTGATCTTTTCCCTTCGTGCGTAAGGAGCCCTTGGAGCAAATCTTCTTGACTCAATAGAGGTATTTTATTGAAACTAATACATCGTAGACATTGTTTTAATAGCTCGAGTATTATATTCCAATAATATCGCTATTAAATCAAGAAGATTTATTCCAATTCTGGCGCTGTGTTGACCAATCTATTGATACGACAGCGTTCTTGTTCGTGTAAGAATCACAACTCAAGACCTGACTGCCCTCCAATCTCAAAGCCGCCTCTCGATCAAGTCGTACGAACACGTCGAGCTTGGATTCTCAATTAGCGAAGTTGTTCCACGAGAATCACAAGCATGCCGCGTTCGCGCGCATTCCTTCCACCTTTAGAGAGAGAGAGAGAGAGAGAGAGAAGCGCTTGGAGAAGAATTTCAAAATAAAGAATTTTGAAATAAAGAAACGATGGATATACACTGACTCCCAGTCATGAAGCTTCTTGAAGATTTTCTGGCATCGACGTGTAAGATCTATTAAGGGTGGCAAACGTTCGTTGGAATATCGAGGCTTGCAAACGTTCGTTGGATCATTCGCCATATTCCTTTTATCAATAATAATAACACCATGATCAGTCGAAGCTTCTGCCATCCCCATTCGCAACTTTCTGCCATCTTTGAAGCAGTTCTCTGACTCTCGCGTGTGAGAAACGACTCAACTTCCGTGTTAGTGGAGTCATCGAGGACCCGACCAACTTTTGCAAGCTCTCGACAGTACACGAAAGATCACAAACACTGATCAGCAGTCGTTCCCTTGTTTAAACGACATGTGTTTCCAAACGACTGTTTTTTCACTCATCCCGTGGTACACTAGAGGATTAACAGTACTAACGGAATAAAAGACCCTCACCGTGCGATTCCTCACACACATAGCTCATCACGTACACATGCGTATACGCAGTAGAGGCAAACAATCTGTCGCGGGCTGTCGGGTTCAACGATCATCCGTGCTTTTAAAGCTCACGCACGCTTCTGTCATCGCCGTCTCGCCGAGACGAGGTCCAATAATCGAGCGCTTCCGTCTTCTACATTTCAGGTAGATACTCGCCGAAGAAGCTGCTAAAAAGGCAGGACAACCTACCGAAGCTGTTCCCTTGCCACCAATGCGACAAGTCCTACAAGAACAAGGGCAGCCTGAAGCGCCACTTGCAAGTCGAGTGCTACAAGGAGCCGAAGTTCATCTGCGACATCTGCCATCGGGGCTTCAAGCAGAAAGACAACTTCAAGCGACATGCCTTTACCATCCACGGCATCTCCTTCATGAATGTTCGCCCGCCTCGGGAGAGTCGTATCGCGATGATACGGCCTAAGCCGCATCGTCCGCAGTGAAAAACGAACGTGCCGGGCGCCAGCTATGCAAGAACGATCGAGCAATTTCGATCTCGACGGGGCTTTGTACGCCAGCCCTCAAGATATCCGAGTAACCATGAAGCTTTGTGTCGGACGGTAGATTGTCCTACATGTGTGTATATGTGTGGGTTTGACGATACAGATCATTGCGTTGACTGCTAGGTAATACAGCAAGGGTCCATTAATTATGACCCAAGCTCGGAAGTTAAGGTTTCTTACGGTCGGTTTCTTCGGGCCGGTGGGTCCCGTTGGGTGGAACGCGGCGAAGAATAGCTGTGTCGTAACGAGGTATTATCATCAACATCGTCCGGCCAGCTGGTTGGCTAAGTCGATCAATCTACGAGATCGGTTCACTCTCCGCACGGAGAAGAAAGATTGCTTGAACTAACGCAACGATGGATGGACCGAGCGTGTTTTGATTGAACAGAATTATTCCCTGCTCCTGTGAAGCGAATTTGCTTCTCGGGACCAGAAATCCCGTTCCCTTCAAGCGAAACGTGTTTGGCTCATTTAATTCGTCAGATTAATTCAACCAGTCTTTCCTTTCCAGATGTGTTTCATCCATCGGCAGATGCCTCAACGAAGCAGTCGACACTGTGAGAGATGATAACTTTCGAGCCTGGTCAATGATCGTCTCAAAGATAAATCGTGCGTTAAACGGCGGACTGATTAGGATTTAAGCGAGTTTCTAGATTAGAAGGATTGCGTGTTTCGTTATTTCAAAGGTTATTCGACGGGTATAGTGACGTGAATTATATTATAAGCCATACTTGATAGTGATCGCGATGTGAATATGTGTAACTGATACTTGTTTGCGATTTACTTTGGTATGTGTATGTGTATGTTGTCAGATTCGCCAAACCTTAATCGATAACATTATGTCGCATTCGTGTTAGATCGACAATTGAAGAAGATCAATGCTTCAAGGAAGAGATCGAAAGAGGTATAATCACGGTACCAACAGTGGAAGAAAAACAAGAAGGAGAAGAAGAAATTCGATTTCGTTCCTATGAGCCGAACCGACATATAGCGATCTATAGCGATTTTCTCTTTCTATTGGGAAACAATTGTAATAACTGTTCTTGTTAATCGCAGATAGTTATTCCCTAAATGTTCAATTTGTGTTCTTAATTCACGTCGCTTCGTTTGAAACGAGAATGTGCGTGTGTATGTGTATTGTTTATGCGCGAGAATCGCGAGTCGCGAAAAATGACCGCGGGTATAAAGATATTGGAAAACCTATATTGATGAGAAGACGAGAAATGGACGGAAAATTTTTAGTAAAATTACTATTTAAGGACTGTTCATAGGCTGTATCGTTAATGACAGCAGGGTCGGATTTAGCTGTTTGCGGCTTATAGACACATCATTAATATCTATAAATCAGTAATTTTTAATAGTAAATGAAACTAATATACATATATATATATATAATTTATTAAATAATCTTTATATATGACAAATGGATAAGATATATAGGGTATATAAAAAAGATGGAGGGACTCTGGAATATCCCGACAAATATAAATTTTATAAAAAATGTTAAAAATGATAAAAGTTGTAAGGTTTAAAAGAGTCTATTTATCGATCTTATCAGTTTGACCTTGGGTAGATTGAGCTCAAATGGGTTCTTGAACTCAAATTATATTCTGAGCTCGAAATCTAATTGACATCATCGAAAATAAAATTGTCCCAAACATAAATTTACTTTAAAAAATAGCAGTTTCCATTTAAAGAATTGACTTGAGCCTGACTGGGCCTAAATATCTACATCTGGGCCTAATAATCTACATAGTCGAAAAGAAAAATTGTTCTGTACACGAATCTGCAATTTAAAAAATGCGAGTCCTATTTAAAAAAATCGACTTAAGCCTGATTGAGTTTCAACTCGGCCTGCATATCATTTGCCTTTTTCTCAATATATGAGTATAGTATAATATGATAATATGATAATAAATATGATAATAGTATATCCATTTATTTCATCTTGAATAAAACTGCAATCACCGACATTTTATTATAAAAACCTCGGTAACTTCGAAACGACTAATCCAATATGGATATATATATATATAATATTTTGAAAAGATCTCAATAATTAATAAACTGTCCTGACCTTAGTGATGTTACCCAAACATTACTAAGGTCAGGGCAAGTCAAACAGATAAGATCAGTAAATAGATCTTTTTAAACCCTACAACTTTTATCTAAAACATTTTTTTATGAAACTTTTATTTTATTTTCGAGATATTCCAAAGTTCTGACTTTTTTCATATATCCTGATGTGATATATCGTGAAAAATTAGATAAATTTACGAATTAATTAAAAATATAATTTAACAAAATTAAAATTGTATTACGTGATAAAATTATGTATTATTCATTACGTGAGTTTGAATTACGCGACGTCGCGTCTTGTTTTTATTCTAGAAAACAGTTTTTTGTTTATTAGTGATATTAATAGATTATTGTTCTCTATTTTTTATATTTTTTTATTTTAGTCAATATGTTTTATCATATAATATGACTATCGATAACAATATCGAGCTTATATCAAATGTACATAAATTATTTTTATCTTTTAAAATTTTATCGAAAATGCTGCTCTCTTTTTCTTATTGGTATATAATTCGAACTATTTCTAGTCGTTCGTGATATTAAAAGAAAAATTCAATTGAAAAAATGAAAAAAATTGTTAAATAAGTAAACAATAATTTTTATTATTCTCATTAAGATATGATATAATGAAGCAAATTTATACATGTTGTCTGGTAATTACCGTATCAACTAATCAAAAATTTTTAAGTAAGTAAACAATTTTTATTATTGTTGCCGTAAGATATGATATGAAGCAGATTTATACATGATGTCTGGTAATTACTGCATTAACTGATCATCCAATAAACACTTAGTTATACTTCAATACGTATAGAGAAAGGTTGTCTATATTGGACCAGTTTTTAATTTCTTTTTTTATAATTTGCAAGTGATGAAAATGGGATAACGACTAATTGGAAGTTATTCTTTACTTATTTGTGACATTTTATAATTTTATGAGATTTTTTATATAACGATATTTTCTACGAATACATCTTTTTTAAAATCTCTGCAAATGTAACAACCAGTTGCTTAAATTGCAAAATTTATCTATTACGTCCTTGAAATTAAAATTACAAAAATAAAATATTTTTGTTTTTAAAAACTTAATTAAGAAATAAACAACCATCAAATAAAAAATTATTTTTCAATTAAAACAATAAAAATAAGTAATACAAAAGCAAAAAATAAACTATTTTCTATAGACTTTAAAAATAATAGTCACATTTGTTCCGGAACGTCCGAAATAAAAAATGTGGTATAAATTCGCAAACCAAATTACAATTATTGTGTCAACATTCGATAAAGTACATTAAATTAAATTGGAAAATTCTCTTTGTTGTTCGCAAGATGATAGAAGATTTTTTTATTTAGTTTGATGAGATCCATCTATACACGAGAGTTGTGTACACACGTCATAATTATCAGACATCTTGTATGTTAAAAAAGGTATTCTTCTTTGCTTTTTCTTTCTCTCTCTCTCTCTCTCTCTCTCTCTCTCTCTCTCTCTCTCTCTCTCTGTCTTTCTCTCTCTCTTTCTCTTTCTCAAAATTTGTCACTCTAGGCACGTGCCTATAGTGCCTGTTAGTAAAATCCGACCCTGCTTAAAAGCCATATTTTGTGAAGACTGCGACGAGGGTAGTTATTATCATTCTTTGCGAACGTATGCAACAATTCAAAAAAACGACTTAGAGACTGCAAAAATTATTTAGTATAATTGGTCAAGGCTGAAATTACGTCGAAACGAAGAATATCAATGATGCGGCGCAGTAAAGAATAAATAAGATTACGTACGAGTATGACTGCGGGAAAAAATGTGGCTGTAATCGGCATCTCCCGTGAAAAAAAAAGACAAGAGCTTTTAAGCGAAAAGGAGAAAAGTGATTTGTCAGGGCTAACTAATCTTGAATTTCTGTCGAGATCGAAAGCGGCGCTTCGTGACTTTTGCCGCTTTTTCCCTCCCCTTCAATGCTATTACACTTGGTTAGTTTTTACTTAGCATTTATCCTTTCCTTTCTCACGCTACATAAAAGATGTTAGTTTATTCGTCATTGATTGTATATATGGTTGCATAGCAAGTATATTCTAATCTCAATGGTAAAGGGTTTTATGATCAAGCTATTCCTTAACGCTTTACGTTAGGAATTTCCTTAACGTTAGGACATACTGTTATAAGAATATTATATAGAGTACCAATGTTGAATGTATGATCGACATTGCTGCACCGAAGACCGAAATGGGGAGTTGTAATCGAGCTGAGGTGATGGAGAGTCGCAGCGAGTTGTTGAAAGATTCCTTTGACTAAATTCGATTTTGTCGGCAAAAAAAGAACAAAAAATTCTGTGATAAGTTGACTAATTCTCTCGTATATTCGGACGTTAAATGGACATTCACCGAGGCCTTAGTTGTACGTGACCCCGTTTACGGCGTTTCATTGTAGTTTATTATAATTTTATTATTATTATCATATATATATATATATATCGCGCGGTATATAATAAAATTATAATTAATATGCATGGTTGAGAATATGATGCTTCACAATGACCTCTCTTACTAGCTGGCGTTTTACAAACAAGAACAGTTCGTGTAATAACAGTTACGTCGCTCGAAGACACAACGCAAGACATCGCTGGAAAATTTGGAAGATCATCATACCGAAGAAAGATGCGTACAAACGCAGAGTATCCTGCATGAAGACGGATATCGAGAATCTATGGCAATTTACGAGCAGATTTACATCAGACGCATACATTAATCATCTTTTGTTACAATTGCACTATGAATTTTTATATCTCACTGTCAGATCAATCTTAATTTCGACATTGATCCATACTCTCGCGGACTGATCGAGTCGCATTAAGCGAAGTGTGTAAGAATTTTCTAAGCTTGTCACAAACGCGTTGTCACTACTTTTCTGCAAACTGTCAAGACTAACCAGCTATCACGAGCGTTATTTTTCTCTCGAGTCCGTACGATCCGCCTTCTATTTTGGAGATTTTTTTGTTTCTTCTTTTCCTCTTAAATGAAATCTACCTACCTACCGAAGACAAAATAATGATTCAAGGACAAGTGGCGATCTTCGCGGAAATGACTTCGTCGCGAAAATCAAATTCTCGCCAAGTGCCGCGTCGAGTGCGCATTAATGATACCACGAATTTTGCTTGCAGGTCGAACCGAACGGGCGCAACCGAGAAGCATGCTAGCGCACATATTCCGGAAGCCGTACCCCTGCTCCAAGTGCAACAGATCCTACACTAACAAGAGCACCTTGAACCGTCACCTGCGGGAGGAATGCGGCAAGATGCCGCAGTACATGTGCCGCTATTGCCACAAGGCGTTTCACCAGCGGTCCAACTTTCAGCGACACGTGTGGACTGTTCACGGCTACGTTCTGTGATCCCGCGATTTTGGAAACGATCGACTCGTGAATCGTTGACGGTCTCATATGTGACGATTGCACCGATCTCGATCACTAATTATCGATTTAAATAGAGCTGAACAAGTTCTCACTTGTGAACATGACATTTCTTTTTTTTTCTTTTTGTCTCTTAGGTGCGAGAGCTACGAGGAACGACGTGTTTATTAAACTTTTCTCTTTTCTTATACCGTTAGTAATCTGGATGAATGTAGCAGTGATTTCGAGAGTATCAACAGCGCTTGAACGTCGTTCCTCTTTGTTGAAATTATTGAACTATGGCGCATGTGTGTGCGTATATGTAATGTTCGAATCACGGCTGACTAAGCACGTGCTCGTCACCGAGTGAGTGTAAATTTGTTGAAATTTTTACATTGCTTTGTAAAAAAGCACGACATTTGTTATTCATTATTTTAATTTATTATGAGGAGATGAAATTTTTTTTATCTTATTAACTAGTGAATTAGTTATAATTAGTTTTTACATTCTTGAGATGTGAGAGTCAATTAACGTATCATATTGTGAAAGCCAGAAAAATTCAGTTTTTATTTAACAAATTTATAAAAGAACACAGAAGCTTGTGAATATACAAGAGATCTGAAGATAGGCTTGAAATCCAGAAGAACATTAGCTTGCAATGAATCTTATGCTCAAAAAAGGACGAATTTACTTTTATCTTTATAGCCATATGACTCGATCATGTAATGATTGAGTTTATTACAGAATGTTTTTGAGAAGAGAAACAAAGAGAGAGATAGAATCAGAAGGAAAGAGGAAGGGGGAAAGAGAGTAAGATGAAAGACTGAGCATAAATTTGTTGAAATCTCTATACTGCTTTGTAAAAAAGCACGATATTTGTTGTTCATTGTTTTGAAATAAGAGGACGAATTTTTTTTGATACTGTTAACTAGTGAATTAGTCATAATTAGTTCTTTCACACTCTTAAGATGCGAGAATTATTAATTGACGTATCATGTTGTGAAAGTCAGAAACATTAATTTTTTATTTAACAAATTTAAGAAAAGAGAAAAGAAGTTTGTAAATATACAAAAGATCTTAAGACAAGCTTGAAATCAAGAAAAATGGCTACTTGCGTCAGCAATGTCAGCAACGAATCTTATGCTCAAAAAAGACGAATTTACTCTTATCTTTATAGCTATATAGCTCAATCATGTAATGATTGAGATTATATTATAGTGTTTTTTAAAAATAAAAAAAGAGAGAAAAGGAGAGAGAGAGAGGGAGAGGGAGAGAGGGGGAGAGGGAGAGGGAGAGGGAAGGAGAGAAAGAGAGAGAGAGAGAGAGAGAGAGAGAGAGAGAGAGAGAGAGAGAGAGAGACAGTAAAGTGAAAGAAAAAACACACTCAATTTCTTATGTGCTCATTTGCTCGATAAGTGTCGTTCCGTTTTTAAGTTTTGAAAGCGTTAAAGAGCATGTTAATGTCGAGATTAGCTCGCAGCAAATCGCTGTCGATACGGATAGAGCAAAGATAGGTATTCTTCCGAACCCTTTTGATTGAAATGAAGCTTATTATATAAATTCAAGAGATTATATTAAAGTTAACTCTCAAGATTCCAAGTATATGGGTTTTAAATTTAAAAGATAATATATAAAACTCAATAATATTTAAAAATATTTTATTATCTTTACTTACCTCCTACCAATGACTTTGACTTCGGCGTATAATATGAAGATTATAGTTCTAAGTATTTTCCGACAAATTTTACACATCGCTCATAATCCGTTAAAAAATTATTAATAAAAAATTTTGAAGATTATATGTTATAGTCAAAACAGATATTCAGTAGGATGACAACTTGATACATCTCACAATCAAAGCGTTTCTTGTAACCTTCAAAAGATTCTAGCCAGCAATCATTGTTTGTGAAAAAATTATTAACAAGAAAAGTGTAAGGAATAGAATTTTTTTATATCCTTTCGATTTTGATGCAGATTGTGTGATTTCGTGGGAAGTATATGTGTAATTTAAATCTTTCACCTTATTAAATTGATGAAGCTATCACATACTGAAATAGTAGATCGTGAAAAGATTAATAAAGGCCACTATACAAAGCGAGGATCTTATAAAAAAAAATTAAAAAGTAACTTATATCCAAGGTGTGTGGAAAAATCTCATTATATGTGGAAAATTAAAAACTTATATAAAACTATATGTTCCTACAGAAAACTGCAGGGCGTAGAAAGAACGGAATCAAACTCGATAAACTATTACTAAATCTATTTATAAACTATATGTAAACTATTACTGAAAATAACTCAATAAATTATTAATGGAAATAATTATTATTGAAAATAATATTAATGAAATATTATTAATGAAAATAATTTAAATAATATATTTAAATAATATATAATAAAATAATCTCAATAAATTATCATTGAAACTCATAGTAATAATAGTAAGTTTAATAAACTAAGTTTATTAAAATATACTTACCTCCTACTAATGACTTGATTAACTAAGTTTATTAAACTTATTAACTCATAAATTAACCTAATTTCACTTAACTTACTCTTATCCAAGTTCCTTTTCAGTGAAAACAGCCAATACCGTGTGAAACTTGTTTTTTTTTTCAGTTTTCCGAATTACGATAGATTATCATACAAAAACGATACAGTGAATACTACTTTGTTAATAACTTTTTAACAAACAATGAGCGATAACTAAAATTTGTTAGAGAGTACTATGACTTTCATATTATATGTCAGGATCAAAGTCATTGATGAGAGGTAAATAAGAGTAAAAATATCTTTAAAATATTCAATTCTGTAATATTATCTTTTAAACTATTCAAGACCCACACTTGGGACTCTGATAGTTAACTTTAATATTATCCTTGGAATTTATCTAAAAAGTTTCACCCCAATCAGGGGATTGGTCCATCCGGAAGTACAGCCGCAAAGATGTATACGACGACGGAATCTCATAATAGTAATAATGGTACTAATAACAATAGCAGCATTTTCATGCCACTTTATATAGCGATCGTTTGACGTATATGAGAGAACGACGCGTTTTAAACTTACCCGTGTGAATGTCAAGCACTCTTTGAGATCCCTTCTATCTCCAATACGTAACCGCTTCGTAATCAGTAATAGTGTGTGACAGCAGTGTGAGGACACTTAATTTTTTTACGGCTCAAGTCGTTTCTGTCGAAAGCATAATTTTATGCCGAGCGGCCTTAACGTTAAAGCCTCCTAATAGTCAAAGCGAGAGAGAGAGTGTGACTCCTATAATTACGCAGACCGCTACGTATACATATACACACATATAGCTATCGTCGAGCTTGCAGTTGAGACGTGGCTTATTCAACGTACCGTTGTTTTTGTACAAGAAAAGAATAAAATAAAAGTACGAGTTATCTCTGCTTTATGAATATAATGAGCAGCAAGTGTACTTGTTAATTTGACGCTTTCACCACGATTGATATCCCGTTCTGCTATAAAACCGACAAGTAATATCTACATCCGATGTCACCGATCAAAATCATTCGTCACGAGACACACAAATCACCGCTTCTTGATTTCTTCATCTTGCAAACTGTCGAATGTCAATGCTGCAGACAGCTGATGGTACAATAGTGACGTACGGACAAGCACTTGTCATTTCTTATAATTCCCTGTCCTTAGAAGTCCGTTAGAAGTGTTACTATTATTAGGCAAATACCATTCGTGGTAGTTTGTCCAAAAATATGTAGGAGGGAAAGAATATTATTATCAACGCTAAGAGAAGCTTTTAGAGAAAGTCGTCGTGACGTGCAGACAAACGGCAGAAATAGATTTACACCTTATGAACGCTCTTATATCAACGAATTTTTCATACTCGACACTTCTCTCCAGAACGATCATTTCCACAAATTTCCACTTTTGCCTTAATCCTAAATTCAATTAAGAGTTGTACGCAAGAAATGCGAAGGAATACCGTCTGTAGACAAGACTAAAAGTTCCAACATTTCATCAGTCATGCAAAATACCCATCTCCCGCTTTTCCATTTGAGAATCTAACACGGCCATTAAATTCGAACCTGTGATGATTTCTTCTCGCAATATCTTGTGGAAATACCAAACTATATGAAAAACACACACATAACGCACGATCGTGTTAGAGATATCCGAAAGAAGTGCGTCGTTTGCGGACGCGCGAGACAGCCGAGGTGGGGTCTCTGATTTAACGGGTGAAACAACATTTCAGGGTGGCGATCCGACGCGGGAAAACGTGGGAGTGCGATCAGCTCGCACCGGTGCAGCGCCTGTGGCAAGAGCTACTCCTGGCGGTCGTCTTATCAGCGACACCTGCGCGAGGAGTGCGGCAAGGAACTGAAGGCCACATGCCGAAATTGCGGCAAGCAGTATCGCTGGCGCGACTCCCTCAACAAACACCTGAAAAGCGAGTGTGGCCGCGTAACCCGCGCCGCCACGTTCCACGTGCTGCGCCACGTGCGGCAGGACACCCCGCCGCGGTCAGACACGCAGGATGCGTTTCAGGAGGAAGCGTTGCCGCGCTCACGGCGAACGAGGAACAAGCCGGTGTGCTGATCTTCCGACTTGACGAGTCGCGACGCGCCCGAGTGTTTGTTCCCGTGCGAGATATATATATCGTTGATGAGGCGAGTGCACTGAAGAAATCTCGATAATGTTGCGGTGATAAGCCTTGAAGCACAATGAATACAGTGAGACCAGTCCTTCGCTCTGAACTTGAAACTGTTGCATGATTTCCGGCGAAAAGCATTTCCCGCACTACCAGACGTATCATAATCTTGAAATTTTCAGCGTTATTACGTCTTCCGGCAGCGTAGGAAGCTCCTTTCGCCAGAAATTACGTTAAAGTTTTGTAGAGCGAAGCAGGCTTAGAGAGCGAAATGCTTAAAGTCTTGCTGCGTTCGTTGTAGATCGAGTCTAAGCGTGACAACACGACCGTGACATTACAATCGTGAGATTTCGTTTACGTCGATTATAATAACCGATATATAATTGACTCGAAATTGCGATTGTTTGTAACCTGTGCTTCTCTATTTCCGCCCCCTTTACGAGCGGATTACGCGCAAAAGGAACGTTACCGTTCCTTTTATGTTTCTTATACTTATTATCATCGCAGAAGATTTGAAAGTAATTCGACAGAAAAAATATCGTTATTTTATATCTTATAATATATAAGCAGTGATAACGCGAAATGTTTAATTGAATATTAGACCGCATACAAGATGTCGCATTATTATATTATCTCTTATGTAAAGTTTTCTCGTACGTTTAGGATCAAAATAATATGTATCGCTACATTGTATTTTGTGTCTGTTAACCCGAGTCGAAATTTTGGTTCTGCGTTAATCTTTTAGATGCCGTTGAACTTGAAGATGCTACAAATGATTATTTATTATCATTTTCTCTGTGTTGAAATTTGGATGAAAAAATATTTATTTAAGAATTACTTTATTTAAGAATTTCCATTATCTCAATACGCTCAACATTTAATCTTTATTCTTAATTTCAATAAAGAATGTATTAATTATGCAATATACTCGGCTGCAAATAGAATAAACGTGATAAGTAAATATTAAATAATTAACACCAGCAAATATATTTACCCATATCAATATGTTGTAATACAACGAATTTCCTACTTTCGTGATTTGTTCATTATTATTTTGTTGGCGTTGGAAATACTGGTAGGATTTGGATATTTAAAAGAAATAAAAGGAGAAAGAAGTTGTTAAGCTAAAGATAGCAATTGCGTAAACGCCAAGGATTTAAATTTGGCTTACGGAATAGCAAAATTGAACAAGTAAAAGAGCGTTGGTTTAAAATAAAATTTAATCATTCGCGTCCCAAACAATATTACTAAAACAACAAGTCTCAGCAGTAGTGAGATTTAGGCCGATATTTGTATAATTGTAAATTATACCCAATTTTTTATTGTATATATAATCAATAATTTATGCAACATGTACGGACACACGTTATTCAGCTATTTGAAGCGATATTAACGACGTAAGTATTACAAGTCGATAATCATAGGTTGATAAAAACATAATGATTTAGCAAATGAACGAAATATAAATGCTGAGCTCATAATAGATACTAAATTTCGACTTCGGTATCTCTTCACTTCCAGTAAATTCGTCAAACATCCGTTAAAATCTAAAACATCCTTCATAATAAATAATTTGATATACTCTAATATATATGATATATCGGCGCCTGTATTGTTTGTCCTGACTTCCCGATCTAGTATCCCACTCTTAGGCAGCGCCTTCGTTCCGGATATTGAAAAAAGTGTTTGATATTGGCGATTATTATTAGCTAAGAAATGAAATAATTAAAAATAATTAATAAGGAACCCGTTTTTGTGTAGAGTTTCTGTAAACGCTCTACTATTATAACGTTGTTGATAATAATCTTATATGCATACTATTACTGCTATTACTATTTTTTGTTGGAAGATACGATTGACGCCAAAAATGATTACAGTTTGTAGCGAAATTAATAATTTCTTCTTGTAGTGTCGATAGCGCAGATTGATTTATATTTTCGTGTGGCACCGTTGAACGCCTGACCACGATAAGGACCAGAAATTAACTACAAAACGGATTACAGGATGCAGACTATAGCAACAGTGGACGATGAGGCTTACGACTTTTTCTTTCTCATCTCTTAAGTCTCCAAATTTTACCGAAATTTCTGACGCCAATAAAAAATAATAACAGAAATATTACGAAAGAAGAAAGTTTGTTGTTTTATTTACCTGTTTCTTTAATTCTTTACCTATTACCATTAATCTTTATTGTATAAATTTATATTTGGTTATTACAATACACTATCTGCAATTGAGTAAGTACTAATTGATATATATAAGTAGATAATTAGTACCTAATTCATAACAATAACTAATATATTGTTTATTAAAATTAAAATTTTAAATTTTAAACAGTTTAGATATGCAGGTAGACTATTGAAATAATCGAGTATTAAATAATTCTTAAATAAGTCCTTTAAGCCTCAATAAAAATAAGTAAGTATTCATGATATCAAAGTCTAATGTTTCACTTCGAGATTCTCCATTGGCCCTTCGAGTTCGATAGGATCTGCAGAATTAATGCAGAAGCAAAATCTCGACTCGATAAAAGTAAATGAAGTCGCTTTTGTTAGAAATAAAAATATGTTGAAATGTGTTTATTGAATTTTTATCGTTACTATTAAACCATAATCTTATAGCCTGCTGAAGTCTGCCGCTAAGCAAGTATTATTGCTGAGAAGGATCTACGCCCAGAAAGGAGAAGAGAACCTCCCTTTATCAATTCTATTTTATTATTCCAGTGTTTAGTTAATTTCAATTAAATATTAAGATATCGTTCTGCGCAGAGAATGGAGTACTCTTTAAAAGTAATCCTTTAGGAAGATGTGTGTATTATGCCTCCAAGTGTAGATCTCCAAGTGTTGACTACATGAAGAATAATCCGATAATTTTATCGAAAGAGATTCCTCCTAAATTAATATATGTCCGATAATCGATTATTAATTTCATAACAAAATCATCCAAGACTAATAATAGACCGATACAATAATATACAGTGATAGAGAGAGAGAGAGAGAGAGAGAGAGAAAGAATAATTAATGATCATTGATATCCGGCTGGTGATTCAATGGAACTTACAACTTGTACGACATTTTCCCTATTCGCTTACTTAAACTCTTGTAACATGCTAATTTGATTGATCATATTAGCATGCGTCGATATAACATGTTACAGCGAATCGATCATCCCTTGAACAATATGAATCAACCAAATCAAAAATGCAAATAAAAGAATCAAATGTGTACTCTCTACCTGATCTGCGAAAGTCACTCTGTACAAATTTTCACGATTGTTCGTAAACTATCATGACGTACGAATCACTATAATAGAATGGAATTACTGTCAACGACGACGAAATTCAATATTCTCTGTGAATATCGAAGTCGTATCGCTGAGGCTGTAATCTTGAAGAATGTACGGCCGAGGCTATATTAACACGGTTATTGATACGAGAAACTCAGATTTGACAAGACGTTGCTTTCCTATTAGCGGGTCATCACTGACTTGTCTGTACCCTGATCGTCCGGAACGATCAATTTGAGCGAATTGGCATGTCGATCGATGCCAAGCCGAGTGCTGAAAGGGCCGCCGATGAAATCAATGATCTCACCGTCGCCCTTTCTGCGACTTGTTTCAGAAATCAAGAGGGAGCACTGCCGCGTCAACTACGACTCTCCCTTCACGTGTCACAAATGCGGCAGACGTTACACGTGGACGGACTCCTTGACGAGGCATCTACGCGAGGGTTGCGGCATGCTGCCAAAGTACAATTGTACGCTTTGCGGCAGAAAGTTCAAACGCAAGGATTACCTCCTACGCCACGAGAACAACGTGCACAAGTTGGAGAATTAGTTTCCGCGGCTGGAATCCATCATCGATAAGAAATCAAGCCTGCCTGAACGAGCCGGACGACATCAGTCGCCCATCGCGTTCGAGTCGATATTTGATTGCACGAGCACGTGCACGAGCATAGTTCCTCGTGAAATCAATACAGAACTGAGAATTAAATCGTATTAATATAATTAAGTATAATTAAGTCGGGAATTTGCGCGTGTGTTGCGTTATCCGTGTCTCAAGGGGATGCATCGCGATAAGACTATCCCGTGTCGGCCGATACTTTATTTTAATACACCAATTTTTGTAATGTGCAATTAAATCGTAAATCTTTCTTCTCGATCGAATAGCATATTTCATAGTGTAAACGTTTTATGGCGCGGTGAAGACAGAATATTCGATTGAATATATGAACGCGCGAGATAAGGAGGAAAATATTACACTCCGGATCTTCAGTGTAAATCTCACAGAGAGCATATATCTTCAATGATTTTGCCTACAGCTATATATAATGATACGGACATTTTTGTAACGGTAACGGAGATCAGAGACGGGGGAGAATCATTCTACTGTGATTTTTTATTTGAAGAAATATCTTTTTCTACGTAGATATATAACGAGAGAGAAACAACAATCACATTTTGAAGAAAGATAGTTTGTACTGACGCGTCACAATTTTTATAGGTACAGTCGAACAGTCGTGTAATCCATGATTATACTCAACATGTTGATCGCCACGAGGTCACTGGGAACTTTATAAAGCATAACGAGTCACATATGTGAATGAAGAACTAATGAAATTACAACTAACGAATGTATGCATCGGAAGATATATATCTATGTTTCCTGTACATTTATCTTGGTTGATTGAAACTTGACAATGTTCTAGAAAGGTCCAGGGGGAAATCAACGTGCGGCAGTCAACATGTTAAGTATCGCGAAGCGATGAGTGTAAAGTAGCTCTTTTATCATCGAGGTAGATAGTAGCGTGTAAAATTAAGTATAGCGACATGTAACTCTCTTTGGGATATCAACAACGCTTTTCCGTACCTGTGTATAATTTATCATTTTTCTATAAAATATCAACTCTGACAATGTGTATTATGATAAGAAGATGTGTATTGACGATGTTCGTGGGTAATCGCGTGGGGAATCGCGGTGTAAAAATAACCCAGTAAACATCAACAAACAGTAACGTTACATCAATATTATAATTTCCCACTAGGAGAGCAACGTAAGTGTAATATAACGCATCTTGTACATAACAGTTACATTGCTGAGTGAGAAATTATAACATTAATCTTGATTGGTGGCCTAATAGCGTACCAAGTTTATTAGGTGAACCAAGAATGATTCAAAGAATTTCGTTGTAAAAAAAATTCGAAATCGGGATATGCGTAAATCGGTGTGGTTGCTTGCGTATGTGACGAATTAAACGCGCAAACAAATTGACTGAAAAATTCGAGAGAGACGTAATGAGTGCAATGTATGCGAACAATTAGATGTACGCGATATATTAAGAAAATGGACAAGCAATATTTGTATCATTGATTCCGTTGTCACGTAAGTTACAAAAACGCTTATCTCGAGCGATATTCGTTTTGCTTACGTTTATTATTATACAATACTCCACGGTAATAAATTACCGAATAAGGCGGCATCTAGTGAATCGTACGAAACAATGCAATGGTTTTCTAAACGATAAAGTCTGAGAATTCAGCATTACGGCATAGAAAATATAGCATTGGTACATTTTCTGATTTGCATTTTTCTTTCAATGACACTTCGCTGCCCCTGTTGTATTAATTTACATAGGTGCGCTGTCCGATAGCGTTTAATTAACGAGATTTACTTAGCAATTTTTGCAGCTTAATAGTTTGTTTTGTTGTATGCTTGCAAGGATGAAAGAACATTTTCGCAAGTAGAATAAATTTTTAGGAGAAGAGTTACATATATACGAGATACTGGATGATAATAATGACAATTATATAAAACGCAGAACTAATGAGAGAGAGAGAGAGAGAGAGAGAGAGAGCGAGAGAACGCTTAGATATTTCTGGCATTCGGTAAAAAAATACGATTGACAGTTCAGCGGAAATCGACGCGATTGACGTGGCGGTCGTATCGCGAAAATTAATTAGGCGAATATAATCAAGCATCAAGTGTCATATAAAAAGCAATGGCATATACACGTTTCACCCATAGACTTATATATACAGACTAAGCGTCCCACAAGAGGCTGTGAAGGCTGAAATCTTTCTTTAGCTGGAGGCTCCTACTGGAGAAAGTTTGATGGAGGCAATATACCTGTGAACAGTGGAGGAGGGATATAACTATTTTTTTTATATTTTGTCTTCAAAGCTCTCGGAAAAAGACGCAGTCTACGTATATATACAAGTCCATGGTTTCACCTCGCGAAAGCAGATCTGCGAATGCGTCACGTAATAAACGTCGCGTTTTGCACCTCGAATGCATTAACACATCGTCCGTTGCTTCTTGCAGGTTCGTCAGTGCACAATTCGTCGGACTATTATAAGAGGCTGGGGCGACACTTCTGCACGACTTGCGGGAAAGAGTACAAGTGGATGCAGTCATTGATCAGGCACGAACGGGAGGAGTGTGGCAAGGAGCCGCAACACAGTTGTCCCGTGTGCGGCGCGAAGATCCGGCACAAGTGGATGCTGAAGAAACACCTGATCAACGTTCACAAGTGGGTCATTCCGAACGGCAAGAACTTCTGAGGCGCGTGACAGGAATGCGCAAGAGACGCACGGAAAAATCCGTTTAACAGTGTCGTGCTCGACTGAAGACTTTATCACAATTATCCCTTTGTATCTTCTTCTCCTTTTTGTAAGATATCAAATTTCTAGACGTACAAAGAGATGATGTGAAGCAGAAGGCTAACGAATCGATCCGCCAGTACTGCCGCTCAACATTCGCGTGGTTTGATTTAATTAATATTATGATTGTATTAAAAAGAGAAAGAACAAATTCTAATCCGTCGTACTTAAATAAGGTGACTGCGAGCGAAATCATGTTCATGATTGATGAGAAATTCATTTATTATATTATATATTTGCTTACGCTATATACATCCTTCACCGGAGTAAGATGTTGAAATATACCAAGTTTCATGTTTGAGAACAAGATGGCCTTTCTACCGCATAAAATATTTCATTTGAGATTTATATACGATAGTTGTATTCTTACCCCGCGCTATTATTAGCATTATGATTATTTTATTATTTGAAATTATATGGAATATATATATGCAATAACATATGTATATCCGGTACATTCGTCAAAGTATAAAGAAATTATCTGAAAAAGTTTTCTTTCGTTCTTTTCTTGTTTCGCAAATATCACGTTCAAGAATTTTTTGTTGTCGTCGTATGTCAATGTATAGAATTTGTCCGCGTGTTTTCGTCCCTGTCATTAATAATAATTATTTCTTCAGAGAACCGCGCACATACACCTTACACTTGCTTGAAATACAATACGAAGAGAAACTTAGGAAAGGAACTGTGTCCACGCGATTTTCAATTATAACCTGCTCTCTACCGAAATAAATACTGTAAATACCAGAAATATCAGTGTACCCCTCGCTCTTTCGTTCTTCGTACAAGCACATATCGTATAAGTACAATGCAAACGTAGAGAATAGACGTAAGATAAAGATGCGAAGAAACATTCTAGTTGCGAATTTCCATCGAAGAGAGAAAAACTGAGTCTATATCGCTTAGCAGCGACGATTAAGCTTGCTCTCAGAAGGAACTTCCCAGGAAGCTCGATGGATTCATGATTGCGGGCTGTGTTCCAGGTGACAAACCTGAACGAATAATTCGTCTCACGAGAGACGAGAAGGGCGCATTGTGTGCTCGAATCCGACGAGCCACGGCGAAGAATTGATGACAATACGCGATGCACTTTGATGAGCTGAGCAACGAGCCAGAACACATGCTGATAGCGTGCTTTCTTTCCAGGTTACAGGAAGTCCCGTTATCACAGGCGGTATCGCGGCAGATATACCTGCGACGTGTGCGGCAAGGAGTACACGTGGAAACCGTCTCTGACGAGACACAAGCGCGAAGAGTGCGGCAAACAACCACGTTTCGAGTGTCCGATATGCGTTGCGAAGTTTCGCCGGAGCTGTCAACTGAGGCAACACCTGTGTCACGTTCACCAATGGAATAACTACCAATGGGACGACCATTGGAACGACCAATGGAAGAACGACGCGTATTTGTAATGTAACAGGAAAATAAAATAAAATCTGACAGTAAAGAGGGAAAAACAAGTTGGAAACGACCTTGCGTCTCTCCAGCCTGCACTCTTATTCACTACTTGAACACCGTTATCGCAATGTTGAGTCGTAATCGCTGTGACGTTTGTTGATCTTCCAATGATGGTTTATATTTATTGCGAAAACAGCACGTGGGTTTGCGCATATATATGTGGTATCTGTACTAGTACTTGTTAATATAATAAAATCATTATACGCAGGATGTTTCGCGAAATAATAAATAGAAGAAGAACCTAGCGCTGGAAAGTTGTACATTTTTAATGAATGCATTAATAATGTATTTGCTAAAAACGTAGAACTTTTCAGTATTAGGTCCTTATAGATCCTCTTTTTCGTTTGTTTATTGAACGTCACTTATTGAATTTCAGTTTTTCTCTATTTTCTTATATTTTAGTTCTGTCATGGTGTATTTAATTTCTATACCTAATTATATGATCTATTTTAATGTAAGAATACGAAATGTTGCCATATATTTTTAATAATAATAATAATAATGACGGTGATAATAATTTATTATTCTTGAGTGTTAATCTTATACAAATTAAACTTTATTTCTGAAACAAGTCGCCGAATTTTCAAGAGCGTATTTTATTTGAACGATTGTTGAAGAAGACATTTTCTCCCTTCCAGCAATAAGCAGTTGTTCCTTTTAAGCGCACTTGCTCTTAATTAGCGTCGATCTCGACATCGTTTGACACGTCGCGTGGATCGTGTCGAGGGAAGAATTCATAATGTAAGAACTCCGCGAATGCGTATTCGATTCTCTCATACGTTGGATTTTCTAGCATGCACGCTGAAATCGACGTTGAAATCGACCGTCAGTCCGACGCCAATAAAACCAGACTGTTGCGTGTGTTTCAGGCGTACAGACGTGCCTGTTGCGCTCGATATACCCGTGCAACACGTGCGGCAAGACGTACAAATGGCGAGAGTCGTTGAGCCTGCACAAACGGATGGAGTGCGGTATCGAGCCACGCTTCGCCTGCAACGTCTGCGGCAGAAAGTTCAAACACAAGCACCACCTCATGAAACATCATAAGTCGATCCACAGATACATCCAGTAAAAACGATAAAAAGAGAAAGAGAAACGAAACACGCGCGCGGCCCGACATTCGTTCAGATCCATTAGGTAATGATAATTCTAAGGCCCATGACACAGCACAAAAAATACAAAAACGGTAAGAAACGAGCAGCAAGATGTAAGAGCAGTGAACTAATTGACCAAACACTGTCGATTGTTCTTGACCGTGGGGAGAATAAGGCCAGAAGCATATAGAAAAGCGTAAGCAGCGAAACTCTTGAAGTAGTAAGAAAATTAATCAGTTACAATCGATTATTCCTGAACCGTAAGGAAGATAATCGGCTGTGGTTGACGGATTTGCTTACTGCTCACGTTTTTCTATATCTGTCTGAGGTCTGTCCCAGTATCTGATATCTGCGAATATCTTTGCCATTGGGCATCTTATTGTGGAAAATAGGGATTCAGTAATTAGCGGGGACTTTAAGGAATATCCCCATCTAACAGCACGATTCAACAGTTGTTCAGTCGGCAACGGTACGCAATTGTGTGAGCGTCGCATTCTACAATGACCGCACCTGCTCATTCATCTCACCTGATTCAGGACTTTTTGACTAAACGCGGCATTGTCCAACTTCGCCAATCCTCGTATGGTCCAAATATAGGTCCGTATGACTTCTGGTTATTTCCTAGGTCGAAAAATCCGTTGAAAGATAAAAGATTTGACGATGTCGAGGAAATAAAACGAAGTGCGACGAAAAAGCTGTTGGCTATCATAGCTGACAGCTATCATAAAAAATGACTTCCAGGACTACTTCCGAAAGTGGATAGACCACTGAAAGGTCATCGCTTCAAAAGGAGACTACTTTGAAGACACCGTTTATATTACTTCAGAATAGTTTTTCCACACGATATGGGCAGAAGTCGGATACTTTTAGGACAGATCTCGTATATTTCAATCTAATCGATTTTGATTGGTCAATATTCTCACTGCTTACGTCCCATTGCTGACATTTTTATGTGTGCCATAGGCTTAAGGCGCGATCGATTTCTGACTCTTCAGTCATTGGGAAAGTACTTGTCGACCGATTGCTATTGTAAACTCTACTGAATCGCGTGAATATGGAATTCTAAAGTATATCCTCCACCACAAACATTAACGCTGCCAATATGTGTGCGTGACACTCCACACACGCATACGTGAATCTCCTAGAATGATAAAGATTTTCTAGATCTGTCGCGCGCGCGAATTCGTGGATTGACGCGAAAATTGAGAGGCGACGCGCATTCCGCTCTCATACTCTCAGTGTCAATCCGCCGGAGAACAGATACGCAGGATGTTGCAGTCTTTTTAGTGCGACACTGGGCCTGAAAATAATGACATTGAGTGCTCTTATAAGCGCTGCAAGGTGACACGTGCCGTGTCACGATAACTCGCAAATAGTTTTTCAATGCAATAAGCGAATATGTATCGCGCAATGAATTCGCCTTCGAATTTATTACTCGACAAGGATTTTCGCGATAATAACTATAATTTCCTCAAATAAAGCAGAGAAGCCAAATTCATGTGTCCTCATTTGTTCCTCTCTGTTTTTTCTTTCATTATTCACGCCGCACGTCCAATTTGCGCGCACACGCGGAAACCGTCGTGGAAATCCGCTTATCTCTTTGACACACTGCTACCCCTTCGTTTCCTCAGGTATCCTCAGGAATATTTTTGAGTTCAATAACTCTGAAATCGCCGATTCTCCAACGCAGTAATAACGAGTCAGTCAATTACTTTTTAGTCAGGTAGCGCAACTACGACGATACCCTGATTATCCTGACAAAATATATGTGCACGTAGAAATTTCTTCGTCGCTAAATTCTCTTCCGACTTGAAGATAACAGCGAACGAGAAAAATCATAATCTAAAAATAAAATTCTGTCGCGCGAAAGTCTTCTCTATCACGCGATGAGGAAAACGAAACGCGACGTTTCATTGTAGGAAGCATCATTAACATGCATTATTCACAATCTGCCTTTCAGATGCGACGGATTAGATCACCCTAGTATATCCGTGCAAATTGTATGAAAAGATATACAATACTACCGGAAGTCGTCTATGCACACTCATTTGCGAATTTGTGGCAAGGAGCCGAGGTTCAGATGCACCGTTTGCTCAAAGCGCTTCAACTACAAGCATCATCTTAAGAAACGCCATTTATCAATTTACAAATATGATCAGTAAACAATATCAGATGACTCCTTTTTCCAAAGGCTCTCTTCGTTCCTTTTTCTCATTAGCACTGTGCACTCTTAGAACGAATCAGATTCGGTTCGTAATTAATTATATTTTTATCTGTGGGCCCTCTTATCTCTTTGCGCTTTTCTCTACTCATTTATTATTTACTTATGTGTTTGTCTAATTGTTGTACTTTATTATCGATTATTCTTTTCATATATTTATTTATGATGCCCATGTACACTGTTATTTCCTAAAGTTTACTGGTTGCTATAATTACTTATGTAATCCAAAATGTGTCTTCCTGTTAATAAATATTAGTATTTAAAATTTCGCAATTCGGAACTTTCGAGTAGTTCGAGTCCGAACAATAAGGATTCGAATTCAAATAGTTCATACATCTCTAGTTGCAGATTCGCATAAATGGAACATGCGAATAACTTGAGTTCCACGATGAGACTGTCGACTACATTCGTGATGCACTCATTTAGATTGCCGAGGTCGTCGCGATGATAGCGAATCGGCGATGTATTTCATATCTTCTGCGAAGGTGCACAAGCTCCTCAAGTTCACCCCTCCCATTCGACGTTAACGACGTTTATAGCTAATGAAGTCCTCAAAATTTCGCGCGAATTCGACCCGCTGGCGCGGTCTTGCAGCTCAGGTGTGCGCGAGAGGAAATTTCGCGACAAGACGTATTCTCTACACGCACGCACCATTCATAATCTGTCTTTCAGGTGAAGCAGATCAAACGACCGTAGTGTTTCCGTGCAAGGTGTGCGGCAAAATCTACATTCGAAAATCGTCCATGTATACCCATCTGCGGTTGTGCGGCCAGGAGCCCAAGTACACCTGCGTTCTCTGCGGCAAGAAGTTCAAGTACAAACACAGGCTGCAGTCACATCTAACGTCGAACGTGCACATGCCTCGGCCACGATGACGATAAGTCGACGATTCGCAAAAGATGCCTCGAGATTTCATTCGAAGATTGTAAAGTGTCATTTACAATATTCACTAGCAGTATCAATAAAGAAACGGTTTTATTTCTCCAGTGAAAGTGGTCTTTTGCTGAATCCCACACGCCGTGAATGTTTGAAGAGCATATTAACACGCAAATCGATCGCAATTATATCGGTTGGATAAGCAAGGCCCGGTCGTCGCTTTGCATCGTTTTCGAATGTTCTCCAACCGGTTCGGTGTGAACGTACCATGTTTCAGGATAAGCATAAGCAGCTCGGATACTCCTTGCTCACGTGGAAACACCGTGCAAGTTTCATTCGCATATAACGAGAATAATTTCCCAATACGAGCTCTCTTTCTCTCTAACTTTGCCTAACGCTTGCTTAGCGCGCCCGAACATAAATTTTGCGACTACCGATGTATCGTCAAATGAATGACCGAATTATGATACAGGGAGTCACAGCGATAAAGCTGGCGAAAAATATCAATTTAAAGAACGAACACACATGTGCAACTTTCTCGTCTCAAAGCGTCTTTCTTTCGCGAGGAACAAATCAATCACGCGTATACAGATGCGATTAGGATCGCGTGACGCGTCGTAGCTCGCGCTAATCATCCTTCGAGATATGAGCGTGGAAAGTTGATAGGGTGAATTGGTAGTATAAAAGATCGCACTCCCCAACTTCCGGTATTAAATGTTACGAAAATCTTTTTTCTTTTTCAGTCTGCCTGCGGAAGACGTGGGTCTGCTTCCAGTGCGGTAAACGTTACCTGTGGCGTGGCTCTCTGAAGAATCACATACGGGTGGAGTGCGGCAAGGAGCCGGCTTTCAAGTGTCCCGTGTGCGACAGGAGGTTCAAGCACAAGCATCGCTGGCAATCGCACGCAAAGTGCATGCACAGCATTATCTTGTAACGCGAGGACAATTACGCAGAGATTATAATTCCCTGACAGCGTAATCGAAAATTACTTGCGTGTACATACATACAATTAATAATTTAGAAAGAGAGAGAGAGAGAGAGAGAGAGAGAGAGAGAGAGAGAGAGAGAGAGAGAGAGAGAGAGGGAGGAAAAGCGAAAAGTGAGAGTAGGAAAGAGAAAGAAAGTATTTTACGAGAAAGTACCGTGTGCAATATTTTTAGCGAAATGAACGGGATATGCGGAAACGTATCAACAAACATTGTTAAGTCCCGTTTATATTGTACTTAGGGACTAAACAGAAAGGCAGCTTTAAGTAAATATATTTTCTAACGGCGAGGTCAGTGAATTTTGCAGTCATACTATACTTTACACAGTGTTAGTGAACTTTATAAGTTTAATTAATACTGGATTTAGCATTTAAGCTGTGTATAGATCAGTATTCGAATTTATAAAATCATTCTACATGAAACTTACTCTTTGATTTTTTGCAACTTGTACGAAAGTAAAACTCGCAACTTTGTACGTGTAGAAAGCATCGTGTCAATCATCATCTGATTTATTATAGTTGAATACCTTCTCTCCTTTATTATTTGTTATTTTCTCCCGAAGAAATGTGAATGATTATTACAGGGATGGGATCAGGAATATTTTGAGTGTAATATTAATATTATGTTAACGAATAACAAAACATATATTCTCTCTCGAACATTTAATGAGTATTTTCAAGCACAACGGCTTTTTGTTTTGTGATTGAATCCACATAACAGGTCTCTTAAAACATTATATTTAAGATTAGAATATTTTTACGAATATAGATAATTGTCATATTTTTTTAAATAAGGGGATGTAAGACACCGTTGATCCAAATGTATATTTCATCAAATTTCAATTACATTTTGTACCAATATCATTTGGTACGTACGCTTCATTATATATTTGATTATAGAAAATTTCTTTTGCAAGTATATGAAACAAATACAAGATAATTTGTTAATATTACTCGATTTCAGTATGATAATACGTAATTCTTGAAATATCGAGCTCGATCCCATCCCTAAGTATTGCAATGATCTAATTACCAATTGTTTTATGTTTGAAATACTTTATATATGTATATATATATATATATATATATATATATATATATTCAACACATTGTATTTTTTTTGTATATTCGCGCAGAATATGCAAAGTATTTTTCGTTTTCCTGAATGCGAGCCATTTTCTGTATTGTACAAGCGATACTCAAGATATAGTTAGGATACTCAATAAACGAATGAAAGATGGATACATATATCACAGGACACAATAAAAGATCCAACCCTCTCGATGACACTTATACCAAAAGCAACGCGTAAGAACAACGATAATCACCTTATTCACCACAATGATTTTGAGATCAGCCCCTCGAACACAACGAGAAACGATCTATAAATCGAGGTAGTTATCGCTTTTGATGCGCTTTCGATGTTGCGGTCGAGAAACGCAGATCGAACTGACCGATTTAATAATTACCGACGCTCTCTTTTCAGCGGGCATCAAGTCCTGGTCGTGCTATCGATGCGGCAAGCGGTACATGTGGCGGGACTCCCTGAAGAAACACCTACGCGTCGAGTGCGGAAAGGATCCGACTTTCGAGTGCCCGATCTGCGGCAGGAAGTTCAAGCACAAGCACCGGTGGCAATCGCACGCCAGATTGATACATTATATCAACATATGACCGACGAGCCGATCGATAAATCGCGAAGCGATCGACATGCGCGAATCTTCCCGTTAATCCTACTGTGTTGTTCTTCTAGGATGAAGTTAGAAACTCCTATTTTAAATTACGTATCGTTGCAAAAAATACCATCATCGCGAAACTATCAACGAAACAATTATGAATTGATGATATTTATATATTTACTTTCTGATTACCTTTGATTACTTTTGTCGTATGATCATACGGCAAAGAGCGCTTGAACGTTGATTGAAAGATTGTAAATAAAAGTATTATGTTTAAATATAACTTATAAAATTTCTCTCGTCTATATATGTTATTACTAATTTCTGTAACATCGAGATGAGGCATTTGTTTTCGACAATTGGTCACGATGGCAATGGATTGTCTGTCTAACCCGTAATATCTAAACTCTATAATATCTATATGTGACGTTTAATCATATGGGACTTTAATGTAAAATGCATAGGACGCATCTTGAGAAAGTATAGAGTCGCGGATATCGTTACGAGTTCGATATTTATATTTTGCCTATAAAATAAAACCTTACATTTACAAACTTGTAGTTAACAACAAGATAGTCGCGTCGAAATCTCGATTCTCTTATATCGACCACAAGGAATTGCTTTTGAAGACGTTACTAACCAAGAGCCACTATCAATTTCAGGGAACGAGAGGATGAATCTTGAGTTTACCGCGATGCACCTGTCTTGTCTGGTCTATGGAAGATGATACGCAAACAGTGCCGAGAGGATGAACGTGATAGGAATATTTCTGATAGTTATATTTTTCTTTCTTAAAAGATGTTTATAATATATAAACGATATGTGATATTGTAACGTAGGCGAATCAATATCCAAAAAGATCGATCGATTTCTGACCTTGTTCTCTCATCAACTGAGTACATAAAAAGTTTTATTTTCGACGACAAAATAAAAGGAGGTCTATCATATCATTCATTAACACTGACTGTGATTAAATCATTTTGTTCTGTCTATATTTTTGATGAGTCAATAACGTGCGGAGGAGAAAGAATTGTTAACTAGAACTAATCAACCATAGTTGTCCACCGATGCAACCGAATCTACTAATTTGAAAAATACTATAATCGATTATTATCTCGTGGGAAATCAGACAAGTAGTATTCCTAAAGCGTTGAGATACGGTTCATAAATGATTATTTATTAATGTTAATCGTACGATTAATTTCAATTTTATTATTCATAATATGTTATGTTTCATGAACGATGTTTAAAGCAAATAAACATAATTTAATATAATTTATATGATGGAATTTGCTTTTGAATTTGCTGTTTTTACTGCTGTACATTTTTTCTTCCTTTCCTTTTCTTTTTCTTGTCTAGTGTCCCGCAGATAATATTTTGATATCAGCGCCAGTAATTTAATTCTCCGTCTTTCTCTTTTTTGTTTTTCAGTTCCGAGACTAATTATAAAGAGGATAGAGACGTTGAGGTATGTACAGAAGCCGGTAATCTTCGCATGTACGAGATGCGGCAAGGCTTATCGATTGGAAACTTCGTTACGAAGGCATCAGAGACTGAAGTGTGGTGTCGAACCCAGATACGAATGCAACATATGTGGCAAAAGATTCACGTACAGATTCACGCTGAAACCTCATCTAAAATCCTGCAGGAGACAGAAAGCGCAGTACAAGATGATTTAGAATTGAAATTTTTAACAACGAAGATAGCGTCGTGATCTAACGAAATATGATTCCGTCGACACGATCTTGCGAATTGTTCTACCATATGACGCAATGTTTCTCTATTTCGAATATTATTTTTTTCAAAGTAGCAATTTACTTCTTGACAAAGCGTAATAAATTTTGTTTTCGTATAATATTCATGGATGAATATTGATATTGTGTATGTGTGTGTTTGTATGTCTATTTAAATAATGTCTTTTATTAACTCTTTAAAATATTTCTTTGATGAGAATCGATGAGCTACTGGATTGTTAATTTTATTTATAAGATTAATACTTATAAGATTTATATTTATGAAATTAATGATATTAATAACTGAGCGTTTTATTTTTCAATCTCTCAAAATGTTAACTGATAAAGTGTTAACTTCAAAGCCGTTAATAAAATATTATCTTAGTAAATCCACAATCTCGTGTAAGATGATAATTGTAACTCAATTGTACGATATTTTCGTACTGAAAGTGATAAACGAATATTGTTTTTAAAAAATGTGATGGACAAAGAAATGGTCTTAACGACTTATTTCCGTCCCCCTCTTTGTATAGAACTAATAGTAGGACTCTATGTAAATGTAACATTGTGAATATTTATGTGCATTTTTATTAATGATTTCTTCAAGAATTCATCTGCTGATGTCATAATAAAAATCGTCATGCATTGTATTAATTACGCGTTTATTCGATTACTCCTATTTCAGGTATCTACTTATACTCTTACAAAATGTCCGAGAATTATGTAATAACGTATTATGATATCTACTTTGTACAGAATATCGTAATAGCATGTCTTGCTCTTTCCCCTTTTTTTACATTCTTACTTTTTTATTTTCGTTTTCTTTTCTACCCAATCTTCTCTCACGAATTACTGTCTCTTTTGCATCGTGGCATCTCCACTGGCACATTTCTTTTTAGCTTGCAAAGATTAAATTTCAAACACGCTCGAGCGACTCTCGATCGAATCCTATTTGATTTTCTGATCGAAGCGGAAGTCCTAACAGCACGAACTTAAGCACTGCAATGCTTGTCAGACACCAGCAATAATCGACAAACTGGTAAAAGGTTTCCCCGATGTGTTAATTTTATTAAAACACTCAATTAATTAATTAATTATTTGACGATGTAACGATCTGCAATACTTAATGTTTGGCATCTTATATATGTGATAGAATTTTTTTTATTTTGCTTATTTTCAATAATATGATGTAACGAGATATTTTCTAGCACTCAAATGTATTTCTAAATATGCGCAATATCTTGTTTATCTAAATTATGAAAATATTCTCATTGCATTCTTTCATTAATTAAAGGTATAATTAATAATGGTACGATATATTGAAAGTACCAACATCTCTCTCAGTGTACTTTATTCAACGGTGAAGCGGATATATAATAATGAATTTTTTCAATGGTTGACTTACTTCCCGCGGATTGCAAATTTTATCCCCACTATTCAACACCGCGCTTTTCAAAAGCTTTAATTAAACCTCGGAGAAATCGACGAGCGAAACCATGTGCATCTATTCGAGCTCTTTCTTTCTTTAATAGACTTCCTCCAACGTCACATGGGAAATCTGTTAAAGATGAAAGGACCAAAATTCCGGTCCCAGTCGACCGTGCAAATTGCACGCGTATCTTTAGTCGATGTCGCTCGGATCAGTTCAGTTACGGAGAGAATTCGTTCGGCGACAATACGAAGCGCGCGCGTCTCTAATCACATTGTCCTCTCGTTGCAGGTGTGTTGGCGTCGATGTTGTTGTCGCAGCAGAACAATAGCGACTTGTCGTGGGGCCAAAATTACGGCGGCTACAAGCCTAGGAATACCCGACGGAAGAACCCGAACGACGCCAAATACGCGTGCAACAGATGCGGCAAAACGTACAAGGCCACGACGTCCTTGAGCCGGCACAAGCGGCTCGAGTGCGGCGTTATGCCTTGTGAGGTGTGTCCTCTCTGTGGCCGCAGATTCAAGCACAGATTCGTCCTGAACGCCCATGTCGTCGGTTGCGAGAGGAGAATGAATCAAGCGGTGCGAAAGAAGGACTACGATTAAGGACGATTTAGTCGCAGAGTTTTTTTATCGAGAAGGACGTGATCGCTGAATAAAATCTCACAGACTTGCTCCAAAAGTATGAGACAAATTGAAATATAGTTGACGAAATATTTTTCGGACGATTGGCACTTGGATACTCGAAACGGGCGAACGGGAATGCGAGACGAGGGTCTCTGCTAAATTTTCGCAAACCGAGCACCGATATTTTCACTTTCACACAGGCGAAACCGTTCGCACTCGTGGCATTCCTGTTAATTTTGTATAACGTGAGAACACTTAGCACACGCATTCTCCGTTAATACGCATGGCGAACATATAAGAGTGTATATGTACGATTTTATAAATGACAGATTGTTTTCTGGAGACAGGTCAGTTTCGTGTGAATTCCCTCACGAACGCTATGTATTTTTAATCGAATCGCAATCAGTTGTAATCAATGCATATTTTCTCGTTTTATTTGTACAAATTAAATCATAAAAAGATAGTCATCAGCTGCTGTTGTTTAAGCCAAACGAGATATTATATCAATGGACGATATATTCGTAGACGGTCTTTACTCCATGTGTACCGAATAAAAATTCGTTTTAGCGATAAACTTCCTATTTTTATTATATACCGAATTTTTGTAATAGTTCGATGCATTAACAGTTAATATATACGCGTATTGTATTATACATAATGAGAATATAACATTGTCGAAATAAACATTCACGCGCTTTATTGTTTTGTCCTGATTTATCAAGCCACGATCTTCGCGATTCACGAGTTCTCGCCGTTCTTGTATATCAGCTTTAACTAAAAAGCTAGTCAACGTTTATTATTGACAAGAGCGGTCAGAGAAACGAGCAAGAGGACTGTGAATATTATTTTAGATTGCGTGAATATTAAGTTTGTATTTGTTAAATCCATGTACTATTGTTATATATCTTATTCATTCTTTCTTCCCTGCCTTTCTCTCTCTCTCTCTCTCTCTCTCTCTCTCTCTCTCTCTCTCTCTCTCTCTCTCTCTCTCTCTCTCTCTCTCTCTCTCTCTCTCTCTCTCTCTCTCTCTCTCTCTCTCTCTCTCTCTCTCTCTCTCTCCCTCTCTCTCTCTGTCCCTCTCTCGTGTTACTCAGCTAATACTTGTATAATATAAATATAACAATCGCTAGTATGTTCCGCGTTATGTTGAGTTATGTCAGAAAGACATCCAAATTATCAGACATTTTTCTTAGATCGTTGATGATAAATCAAAAAACAAGATGCAGGCTTTTTAAAGTCAAAGCATTGAAAATTTTTGTGTAGGTCATTATACATGTACGAAAGAATAACAATATTTTTCATTGAATTTGGAATTTCAAGTTCGGACTTTTGTCTGAAAAGTTGCACTATTTGATACTGAATATAACTATAAAAATTATAAAAAACGTTGAAAATATTATAAAAAGAATAAGATTGAAGCTATTGAGAAAAAAAATGATCCTTGAAATTGCTAAAATATTTAGGGATATCTTAGAGAACAGCTCATATATACTCATGTTTTTCCTTTATTATAGTTTTTGTTAATAAGGTAATATTCAAAATCCAACTAATTTTTATTTTTAAAACAGGATTTCTCATTGATGACGATTTATCGCTAATATGACGACAAAGAATGTATTTTCACAATTTTGAAAATTGCAAATATGTGTTAAAAATATGCAGACTATATCGTCATCATTTATAGATGATTGTCTTTTCTTTTTTAATATTATATGCAGTCTGTTATAATTGATGTTCACTTATGTTGTTTAAACTGTACTTGTTTTTAACGAAATGTTGCGTACTTGATGATTTATTTGATATTTTTGGACTTTATGGTGCCGATTCGACTTTTTTTTACAATCATAATTATGTACGGATTTTATTGCTATGAAAAATCTTAAGCTTCTCTATCAAGATACAAGTTCCGATGAACTAATAATTATTTATTAGACAATGTTCCGGTATAGATCTAGTTTTTAATTTAATGTGGGTTTTTAATTTAAATTTCTATCGCGCGTTTTACGTTCATTCATTTATGCCTGTGGTCAATAGTCTCGTGAATCGAACACGAATCATAGCCAATTCACAGTTCTTCCCGCTCACGTTCGTTTTATGTTAACAGGACTCATCGTAACCAAAGTATGGAGTTTAGCGCACGCTTCAAAAGACACGTCAACGAACAATGACTCTCTAACAGCGAATACATTGGACGACTCTACATTTCATATAATTTTGAAAAATATGGACCGACCGAGAAAACGACGGATATATACATGCAATTTGTGCGGCAAAGTTTATAATTGGAGGTGGAATTTACGTCGTCACCAGTTCCAGTGCGGTGGCAAGGAACCAAAAATCAAATGCAAATTCTGTTCGAAGAGATTCTACAGACTGGACAGATTTAAGGATCACTTACGGAAGCATCATTATAAGTCGTCGAGTGTTCAGCTTGGATGATAAAAGTACTCAATGAAATTATCTAAAATTAAAGTGTCCAAGAAACGTCCCTTAACGCTTCATGCACGCGATTTACGCGATTATGCAGTACGTAAATTATACCTTTCTTTAACCGTTCTTAAAGTCGTGTGTAAATTGTCAAAGGCGTATGAATAATAATAATATATTATGTTATAAACGAGATCTACGTTATATTTTATCTTATTTTATTTTCATATATATCTGTGATATTGTATGTATATGACGTTTATATTTTCTCCTATGTGACTTCTATTCGTATTTCATACATCTGATTTCGGTTGCTCGAAAAATTTAATTAATGTTACTGTCGACGTCAGAATAATATTGTTTTTTTATAAGAAATGAAATTGATTTATTTCCGTGGTTTTTCGTAACGTGTACATTAAGCGTTGAGAGAACATAAAGATCTAATATGATTTCTTATTCGAATATTTTCGAATATTATATTGTTAGGAATATTGCTAGAATATCATTGTTACGTAACTGCTGATTGGTATTTGTTACAACTTCTAAAAAAAATGTCAAGAGAATTAATAATAATAACTTAAATACTTTGTTATTTTAATCCTACTATTATACTAAAATATTAAATTGAAATTCTGCCAATGATAATAGTATTGTTAAAAAGTGAATAATAGAATTTAATAATTAGTAATCAGGATCAATATTATATGAAATATTGGATATGTATTTCCATATATTATAATAGTTTTTCTTTTTTTTAATTATTTCGAGATAACTTTGAGGGCATTCTGACACATTCTCTCTCTCTCTCCCTCTTTCTCTTTCTTTCATAAAATGTCGTGAGCGTAATTGATCAATGTACAACATATATAAATTTTGTAATTTTTAAAAATATCTTTATGTCAGTGGACATATGTTGAGTAACCAAGGATAGTATCTGATAGTAATAATTTGTTGATGTTAAATCATGCATATGACTATTAGTTTGTAATATCAGTGTTAACAAAATTGCATACATGTATGCATATATATGTACGTATGTATATGTGTATTTTCAATTTGTGTCTCATTTGATAATTTCGGGCTTATCAGTCTGAAATGGAATAACCTAATGAAAATGTTAAAGTTCAAAGTGTTATACTTTCTAATCTCAAAACAGAATCATGTTTCTCATATGCCTTCACTTGAACATATAATCTAAAATTATTGATGGACACTCGATCCATGTATGAAACTTGCAACCCTAAGCTTTTTTATACTGCTGACCCTACATCAATGAAATTAAAAATGATGTATTTTCCCAAAGTTAATGTATTTCAATAAAAAAAAATTTTATTATATTTTCAATGTATATTTGTGCATAATTATATAAACAATACAGAAATAATACAATACAGAATTCTGTTACATTTCCATACATACAGCACAATATTTTCCTCTATTTTCTAGTTCAACAACTAAAGAATAAAAAATGCGTCACTGTTCGCCCGGCTATATTTTGTATAATTAATATAAGAAATTCTGAATCCTGATTTCGTTCAACTTTCAGTCCCGGCAATTAACGGTTAAGCTATAATTAAAAAGATCAATAATCGATCTCAAAAAGGCACAAACCAACAATCAATGTCTGCAAACTGAAAAGAAACTCATTCTTAGTAGATCACGAGTTCAATAATCGCTAGATCACGATACGGTAATTAACACTCAACAAATAATATATTACATCTTGATGATCAGTATGCGCCCAATCGCATCAACGTCGATCGCCGTTCGCGTATCCCGAATAACAAGATTTTTTTGTGTTTCAGCTGGTGCTCTGATGGACGAACTTAGCGGGTTGGACCTGAAATTGGACACTGCTGATCTAGACAAGACCAACATATTGAAACATTCCTTAAATCGTGGCCATACAGCGCCGACGCACGAACAGCGTTACATGTGCGGCGAGTGCGGCAAGGGATACAAATGGATGGATAATTTGCGGCGGCATCAGAGGCTGGAGTGCGGCAAGCTGCCCAAGTTTCACTGCAAAATCTGCATGAAAATGTTTTACCGTCGATATGAACTGACTAATCATATGAATATAAAACATCATGCGTAGTTGGTTCTCCCGTAATAGATGTTTTCCGCTCTAAAAGAAGTTACTCTTTTTTTTTCTCCTTATATTGTTATTATAATTGTGGAATATAACAACAATGAAAAAGTAAGTTGAGAAATCACCGGCATTTTACGATGTCTCCATTCATTTCGTTAAGTTCAATTGATAATATAAGTTACAATAACAATATAAACAATTATAGTTAAAAATTAATATGAATAATTATATTACTTTCATGTTCATTTGCATAACTACTTTGAAATCACACATATAAAATAATAATAACTTTAACAGCAGTGTATAAATCTATAAAAAATATATTTTACCACGTTGATTGCCACGTTAAAATTCGAGTGTGATCCTCACCAAATCGTAATTCTCTAACCAGCACCCGTAATCATACGCAGAATCAGACTTTATTTAATATATTATTATATTATAATATAATTAATTATAATAATTATTAATTATAATATAAGAAATTATACACAGTTAGATACAGTACTTTGTATAAAATTCTCCGTGGAATTATTTCTAATTAGATAAATAAAATGATCATTTGTGAACGGTTGATGAGGTCTCTGCATAAGTCACCTAAATATTTAAGTAGACAAAAACATGCTCTAAATTGTTGCATTTGCTTACATGATATTATTAAACATTCCAAATTATTGGGGAGGAGGAGAGAGATATTTCTTATATAAATTTATATTATTATTTTGAAATGATTAAATTATACATATATAACATAAAAAGTGATATAATTAATAATAATAATTTCAAGATCAATGTCGGTGATTTCGATCTAATTCTAAAGATACACTGGATTTTTTTTATTTTCTTGCTGTCATTATTCTTCGATTTGTATCGATTTGATACTTCTACGATAGCCACGAAGATATAGACTTTGTTGTATGCACTATATCGAAATAAAGCGATCTATACATAAATAGAACGTAATGTAAACGTGTAAAAAATGCGTTTCATAAAAGAATATCCCTTTCTGTTTTGCGTTTACTTTATTAATCCGATTTTACTTTATACTGTAGCAAATAAACCCCACACACATGTACCAACATTGTTTCATGCAACAACAGCAATGTTTTGGATTATATAACCTATAAATACAAGAGACAAATAAATATTTAGTCATGACATATACACTCTCCTCTTCTGAATTTATCAGGAAATAATCGAATTGGATTGTAGTAATAAACAAACGCCTACTAGATTTATCGCATTTCTTATGTTTTTACTCTTAAGTGCACCGTGCAAATCCTGTTTTGTTTGCGTTCTCTCATATGCTGTTATCGGCGCGAATTTGTCTCTTATATTCTTCTAACTTATTGGCAACAACGCAAGCGATCATGCTCTCCTTCTTCACCTCTTTCTCTATCTCTATATGCATGTAATTATATTTTTCGGACTCGGACTTTCTCCCGTTTGTTCGTCTTCACGCTGCATAAATCATCTGACGTGTGTCTCGTCTCTCTCCCTCTCTAACGAATGTTTCCCATTTTTTCTTTTTTTATAGATCACCTGGAACTGTGCGACTGGCTGGCCGAGCCGCTTGTAAAGCAGGAAATCGACATCTCGGAAAGTTGCTTCGATTTCGTCAGCACCGATTACAACGAGTTATCGCCGGAGACATGGGATGTCCCCAAGAAAAAGCTGGTGAACATAGCCCCGCTCCGTTGCGAAGAATGCGGCAAGAGTTTCTCGAGGAACGATAGCCTTAAAAGACACGAGAAGCTGTATTGCAAAGTGAAAAGCAAAGTTAAATGCTGCCGTTACTGCGGCGAGCAGTTCAACAAGCCTGATTTCCTGCGCGATCATATAAATAGCGCACATGCGTCCGAAATAAAACCGAAGTCGATCAAAGAGGAACCAAAGTGAATGTAGACTTCCTCCTCGTGTTTCCTTTTCTCTACGAAGAAAAAGAAACGAGCATTTCTCCATGTGCTACTATTTCGGAAATCGTTTATATTGCATCGACTTTGAATACAATTTATTTATACCGAAGGTGGACGCATTTTTCGTTTATAACTCGATTGAAAATTTACAAGATATCTTATTCTTAGTCTTAGAAGTGAACAATAAAAAGAGAAGAAAATGTAAAGTTGAGCGATCACTTGACTTTACTTAATGGAAGCACTTAAAGGGCTGGATAATAACAAAATTAAGAGTACCTGGTGCATGTGCGATATGTATTTGAAAGCGAATGAACATTATATTAATATCATCTGTCGCATGATGTGTAATGTACGTGTAATATGTAATGTATATGACACCAGACATGTACGTTCTTAAGAATAGCTTATTTCGCGACTAACAGTTTAGACTGTTACGTTCTAGGCCTTTTTTGTGTTTATAAGAGTTACCTCTTTGTAATCGTAAACATGCATATGGAAGCATGTTAGAAAACTATACATGTCCACTTAGCCTCATTATTTTTCTAATAAATAAACGTGCAGATTTCGAGAAAATAGCTCTTTTTCTCCCTTTTTATCTCTCTCTCTCTCTCTCTCTCTCTCTCTCTCTCTCTCTCTCTCTCTCTCTCTCTCTCTCTCTTTTTCTCTTCTATCTCTCTTCTCTTTTACCAAATTTCCGAATCCTAATTGATCTTTTATTCAAAATACGTACGAAAAAATATACACCGTATATTCGTGAGATGATTTCTCAATATTGTTCTCTCTGGCCTTTCGATGAAAGATCCCCCAGAAAGTTTACACACAACTAGCGATCGGAGTCGTTGAGATAATCACTAATTCTTTCCCCGGCTCTACAATCACTAAAATCGAAAACAGAGGATAATTCATGACAATATGCATGCCGCTGGCCGCTGCTCGCTTGCTGGTCGTTCTTATGCGTGTGCCCTTTTTTTGTTAACGGGCTATCGTGTCTTTGCAGATGAAAACGGTCAATGCGGCGCAGACAAGAGCAACGATGAGGAGCCGGAGGTCTGCGAGGTGCCATTCCATGGTCAACTGACGATGAACTACCTGCTCTGTGACTCGTCGATCCTGAACAGCGTGGAGGCCAACGTGGTGCAGAAGAGCGCCAAGTCCTGCCAGCAGTTCCGTTGCGACGGCTGCGGCCGAGCTTATACGCGGGTCGACAGCCTGAAACGTCATCAGCAGAAGTGCGACGAGTTCTTGGCGTCCTTTCAAGACCGGCAGGAGAAGCTGGAGAGACTCCAGCAGCAGGAGTATTATTGCAATCAATGTGGCAAAACGTATAGAAGACTGGACACCTTACGTCGGCATCAGCGGCTGGTGTGCGGCGACAAAGAGAGTAATCACGGCTTGAAAGTGGACAAGGCGAGTTTATAAGAAGAACGAGTCGCAGTGACGAATCTTATCGATGTAATTCGATCTCCGAGATCGAATCCGAAAAGAGTGTGTCGGTTGACGTGCTGCGAGATTAAGTGTTACCGTCTCATGAACAAGACTACACGGGACCGGTCGTCCGGTTCGTCTGAATAAAAGTGTCGGCTATGTATTACAATTTGTTTTTAAACGCGCTTTTAAGTGAGGAAAAGGTCGTGCCGTCGCGTGGCAACGATTGCTGAGTTTCTCGCAAATCAGATTGTAGTGTATCGTTAATTGTATGATATTGTCATTTTGCTTCATTAAGGAATATCGAACGAGTCGCGAATGCTGTTCATTTTTCTTGTATATTCGTACGCAGTTGACGTCAGAAAAAGAGAGAGAAAGGGTAAGAGAGAGGGAGGGAGAGAGAGAGAGAGAGAGAGAGAAAGAGAGAGAGAGAGAGAGAGAGAGAGAGAGAGAGAGAGAGAGAGGGAGGGGGAGGGGAGAAAGAGAGATCTACATTCTTCTTTATGGCCAATACGCGAAGATGCGCTGAAAAACATCTATAAGATAAGCGTGTACACAACAAGATCCAAAAATAGAGTATGTAAATAAGTCTCTAACGTTCGATTTAAATTTTAAACGGTAGGATACTTAGAGATAAATATGTTATTCGACTGTGGCAATCACTGTGCAGATCATTGGAACCATATTGATTTCATATGAATAATATATGTTTCGCCTTACATCATCAACAAATAAAGATTTTCCTCCTAAGCAACGACTATCAGTTTATTAAGTACGCAATATAAGACTAAAATAATAGAAATTATATGTACGTGTATGTAGTTGCCTTGTTTCTCTGTACACAACTAATTACGTTCCTTTTTTCGTTTTCATAAAAAGATGCACGTAAAAATTTAATTGCGAATATGTACATAAAGAAGATTAAAATCGTGGAAGGTTCACCTTTCGTTGCGAACATCATTTGTTTGCGATAACAATTGTAGTTTTCTAAATGCAGGGCAAAATATTAGACACAAGAGAGCACAAGAACACGAGAGAAAAGACAGTAAGCCGCTTAATTTCTATGAGCTTGAATCTCGAATCTGAAAACCGTGATCCTACACACAGAAAAATATATATTGCATTCAAATAAATATTACTCGTTTTAAATATTTCATAAGTTTCATAAGCTTATACATTCGCAAATATCTGCCATAAGTTTATTATGATTATCAAATATGTCCAAACTATATTCTGAACAAGAATTATTGAATTAAAACAAAATTAATTTTGTCTTTTCTATACAGAGTACAAGTCTTATAATATTCTTGAAAAGAGAATAAATTCTTCTTTCATATACATGAATTTTTATAAGATTTGCGATGAGTGTATTTTAAGACTGTTATCGAGAAAATATCTCTTATCGAAGATATAACCGTTACTTAAAAGAAGTAAAGTAAACTGAGCAATTGTTTTTCTCAGCGGTAGACTGATATTTTTCTCTGTGTACGAAAATTCATCCGACCACGAAATAAGACACCGTCGCGGTCAAATCGAACACACCTCGAAGATCTTATCTGCACGAGAAAGGAAAATCTATCGCGAACAAGTTCTCCATGCACGAGTAACGTACTAACAAGGAAATTCGCTCCGTAACTTGCTATATCCTTCGTTACAGAGCAAATTATTGAGAGGGGAGTCGCGTGCCGGGAGCATTCTCATTAGCCTTGAACTATCCGATCACTGCATGTCCTATATTACACCACATTCGTACGTTACAATCCGATCGAAGCCGCGAGTGATCGCGAATAACTTCAACCCCGTCCCGAGCGATCCGGACGTCGCCTAATCTACGGCACTCTGTTTTCTTGCCGCAGGGGAGGACCAGCCACAAGGATACGACGCCTTGTGGATGCTGGAGAGGAAGGCGCGCAGCATCGGCCAAGAAGAGCAGGAACCCCTCTCGTTCCCGAGCAAGTCGAAAACGCACGACTCTTCTGGAGCCGGCTCATATCCTGTCGTCGTGTACCCCGGGGAGTCTTATGTACCGATACCGATGATGCAGGCCGAATATGTCTGCACCGACTGCGGTAAGAAGTACAAGTGGCAGGACAGCCTTAAGAGGCATCAGAGAGTGGACTGCGGCAACAAGGAGAAGAAGTTCTCCTGCCATATGTGTGATCGGAAGTTCAAGTACCGATACGAGTTGCGAAACCATATTACCGCGCACCATATCACCGGCTGACTCTCCGCCGCAGGTGACTCACATCGAGACAAGTTCATAAATAAAAAAAAAAGTGTGACCCGAGAGAAAATCGATACCGAGAGGTGTGCAGTTCTTTGTCACGATTCTCTGCATATTTGTAATCTGAATTGAGACTGAGAGACAGAAAGATGGTTGCCTCTGTGTACATTCTTTTTCTCTTTTTTCATTATATGAAACAACGTACAGCGATGTTAAAAAAAAGATAGAAGAGGAATGACAATGCGAAACTGAAATTTTCTGTCGCGCAAACATAACGAGAGCATTAAAAACATTAAAATTGACTTACTTATTTGTGTCGCGAGATATACCGTACGATTTTCCTCATCTCTTTACAGCATAGTATAAACGGAAATTTAAATATACTTCTCTCCATTAATACAAAATGTATATCTGTATTGAATCTGTAACACGCAATATTCCTTGCTGTACTCTATTCTATGTTGTATTTATTTATATTATTTATATAAATGAGAGTTCGCACTATCAAAATTCGTGTTTTCCTCATAATAGAAATTTGAATAGACACTTTTTCCAGCATTAACATCAACAAATTATTAAATTTTTCGTATCCTTTCATTTTAAAAATGTTACGAAAACTTAATTGCATGTTGATCTAATTAATCATAGCAATTTGCATCGTCGTATCTAGTCGAATAAATGTCATCTTTTGATTATCGTCTCTATATATCTCTTGATTAAGTGACGAAATTAAACTAGCCATTGGTTAATAAATACCTCCCATTAATATTATTATGATAGAATTGAATTAAAACGAATTTATCCAATTATTATAACAAAATAATTATAATACTTTATCGATTGCTATAATGTTGATCTCACTACGAGATTGTTTCACGAAGAGATTGTTGGACATATCGACTACCTTGCACATTAATCACCGATCCTCTAATTTTCAGGTTGGAAAACGCGTGTACGCGCGAATAGGATGAGTTATAAAAATATTCCACAAAGATAAAATCATGAATGCGGGTGAAGCTGCAAGTACAAAGGAAGTCTGAGAAAACACCGAGCGCCATCGGTTGCGATCACAACAGGAAAAGACACATCTGTTATTGATACGACATAAGTTTTGGTGCGGTTTAGAACAATCATCTGCGGTGTTCACATATTGGATGAACATTTTTGAACGCGAGACGAAACTGTACTCTATCTCTCGATTCTACGATATTAAGTAAACTAAATCGAAATTTCAAATGTATAAACGTTTAGAACAAGACTAATCTCTGTATATGCACCTCACGACAAAAAGAACAAACTTCCTTCTTTCACCCTCCGGCAGAAATCCTGCGATCCCGAGGAGATCCCAAATATCTAGGACGCTCTGTTGACAATCGCTTTCATGGTGTATGGCTACATGTAGCTCGACTCATGCTATGTATACGTCCGTGTCCTTGTGATCGATAATAATCCCGTTTAGGCTAACATCACGATCCATCCCCGAAACGAAAGGACGCGGAAATCTCGATCGAAGCTGTACTGACCATAATGTATATTTTCTAGAACGCAACTACTCGCCAGGCACCGCGATCGACTGGTATTATCAGTACCAGACGATGTATCTTCGATTGATGGCGGAGAACCAGCTAGCGGAGACGACGACGATGGAGACAACGACAATGATTGAGGAGACAACGAGCAGTTGTCCTAGCGAGCACGTCAACGTGATAAAATTACAGAACGGTCAGTCGAAGACGGAAGTCAACGGCAGCCAGTCGACCACCGGATCGATCCGGGACTCCACCGGGTGGTATTCTTGTCCACGTTGCGGCAATGCCTACAGCAGGCCGCACTCGCTGAACCGACATATAAAATTCGAATGCGGTGTAGAGCCGCAATTCGAGTGCCCTATCTGCCACAAGAAGTCGAAGCACAAGCATAACCTGGTGTTACACATGAGAACTCATCAGAAGCCTTGAAACCTCTCAGCTTCGGGAATAGTTGCGACTGAGAGTCATAGAGTCGAGAGTGTATCTCGCGATGCCAGATTGCGTGATTGAGAAAACTTTGCGAGGACGATCAATTCGAGGTCGATTTGATAGAATTTTGTAAGATAATACAAATCACGTTTGAAGGATAGACTGTGCGTCGGGCTTTTTGAAATTCTCAAACTGATCCTATTCTATATGTTGAATGTTATATAGTTCCTTATTATTTTATCTTCCAAGTATTTTCTTCGAGATTGTATTATCTTCGAGATCGCACTATCTACACAATGCACCTTTTCTGGTACAATGTTTTGAACGAAAGATCAATTTCTGGATTTAACGACATTTCTAGTCCTGCTGTTTTTTTTCTGCCAATTATTAGCACAGAGATATTTGAAAAGTATTGTTTTCTCTTCTTTCCCGATCACACGTTATTTTATGGCAATTATAGACAATAAATATGTGTGATCGGAGAAAGTATATATAGTATATACTCATATATAATAAATATCTATATATCAGGTTAAGTTGAGATAAAAATTTATATTATAATTCGTGATATTTGGTTAACAAAATTTCTTTATCCTTTATTACTTTAAAGTTAGATAATATATATACATACAATGTTGAATATTTGATCTACAAGTTAAATCTACAAGTTAGTTTAAAAATATACTTGATTCATATTATAACTAAAAAGTCTTCCAAAGAATAACATTAGCAACATAAAAATCAAGAAGAGCCTAATATATCAATAAAGGAACATTAATATATCATTAATGTGCTATTGAAGAAAACTATTATAATTCTTCCAAATTGGGAAGAAAATTGGAAGATATTTTGGATTTATAATTCTACGATATGTTTGCACGCCAAATTTTAAATAGTGCATGCGATATCAAATTACGATCGATAGTCATAGGTTATTAATGAAGTTACCAGGAAAATTATCAAGAGAAATATTCTTTTCGGTGTAGTAATTAACAAATTATATCGTAAACAAGTTAATGCAAAACTCACTTGTTATATAACGTTACATATTATCAATAATATTGAAATTGATATTGTTTTTATGAGATTTATAAATCAATGCTGAAATTATATTAAACCGTTCAACTTTTAATCATATAGGCTATATAAATAAATATCCTGTATATTACTTAAATACAACAAAATACTTATTTATATTTAAACTACACGCGCGTGGGTCTCTCCATAAGAGAGATTGTATTTTTTAACTTTTAAGTTAAATTTATTATTATTAACATTGGCAAATATTATATTAGATGTTCACAAATTTATTCACTGCCATTATTATCTTTTTGTTTAAGCAATTTTTATTGTCAAGTATTCCAATAACGACAAATAACGATTTTGGACCTAAATGCATTTCTTGCGCTACTAAACAGCGGTAAATTTATTGTATTTGTACATTTGTATTTTAATTACATGTTTAATAGAAATATATTGCAAGAGAGCAATTTAATCCCTCGCATATGCAAGACAACGTTTTTGAAAGATGAATGAGAGACTCCTGTTACACATGTTACACATGAGAATTCGATTGAAATGCTAATTAATTTCGGCGAATTAAATAAAACGCGAACGCGTACTTCCTTAGAGACGTCTTATATATTTGTGTATAAATTTCCAGCTTATTTAGAAACGATAGAGAACGTAACAATGACTTAAAAAAAGAAAACGTGACTGTCGTTACTTAGAATTAAGGATAAACTGTGATCAGCAAAGGTGCGAAATGTTAGTTTCATAATATCACAATATACGTATACGAGTGAAGGAATTAGTTGAAAATGCGAACAATAAGAATTTATATCGCACGTATTTCCACTGAATAACGCGTGCTAAATAGCGGTGGGAATACGGGCACATATATTATACGTACAGCAGAGCACGAGGAAGTAAATGATAGTGCCAATGAAACGAAGTCTGAACAATATATACGCCTGTGTATATTCGCGAAAGAGTTATATTCTATAAATTTAAATATATATGCACATAGAGACATAGATATATACATATACTGTAGCATAACTGCGGTGGAAATAAATATGCATATTTTATAATCCGCAGAATTTTGTTAATATTCAGCTACGATCCCATCTATGTTAGCTTTTTATCGTTATTCGACAATTAGGTATATCCGAGAATATAAATTTTCTTCTTTTCAGTTCTCGTTGAATTAGCCACCTAACATTTACCAGTGATGATTTTCTGTGAGACAATTCTGAAGCTACTATAATCATTCAACCGATATTACCGCTCGTTATAATATTCTTGTAATATATTTAGTGTATGCATATTGATTGTACAAAAATTAAACGTAGATCATTGTTAAATGCATGCAACAGTAATGTCTTAAGTAAGACTTTAAATTAGGGATGGACAAAAACTCGCGCGCGACATTGATTGAGACCGGAAAGGAATTTCACGTACATATTACAATCCTGTCCATATTCACGGCACTTGTATTGAATCATAAATAAAGTATGACGAATGAATATTAATATATAAATATTTCTTTCATAATAAGTATATCACGTAAAAAGAAGTAACAATGCAATGCGATGTAGAACTGTAAATTCATGAGTGTGAAAAATCATTGTTACATATATTGAGGAAAAATAACACAGAGATACTACGAGTTTAATTAAATTCTCCATTTAATATAACCCGTCTCTTTCCACGATTGTATTCATAAATTGAAATTCGCGACGTTAGGTACACATTATCTTGCACGAAAATTCCGGAGAAGAGGGTCAAAACGACGAACCGGTATAATTGCTTGTCCATCCCCAATATAGACTATGTCGAAGTTACATCTGTCGCAAAAATATATTCTCGTTGTGGTGCCGTAGCACGATGCGATTTATCGTGCAAATTCGTCGGAGACGATTCTCATCATGCGCCGAAACCACACGCTTTCGCAGAACGCATGCAATTTAGAAATCGGGGACTGCGAAATGTAAGAACGAAAGCAGGCACGTGTATACGAAAGCAATGAGATGTTCGTCATCGAGGCGAGATATCCGTATAACGATTGCGCCCTGACCGCGCGGCATGATTCATTGTATACGCTGGTACATCCCGTATTTTCGTTTTATGTAATTGGCCGTCTAACGCTTTTCTAGTTTGCATCGCTCATCTTGCGACAGCCCGTTATGTGTGCGTGCCGCGAGATCTAGCGTGTAATATGCGTGTCGTATGCGTGTATGCGTGCGTGCTGTGTATGTGCGTGCGTGTGTGTGTATGTGTGTGTGTGTGTATGTGTGTGTATCTTTTTATTACATCTTTTCCGACGAATGTTTCAGTGTGGAAGAGATTGAAGAGAACGGAGGATGGACCACCGTTTCTCTGCCCGAAATGCGGCCGTACTTATTCGCACAAGTGCAACCTGACAAGGCACTTGCGTCTCGAGTGCGGCGTCGGCCCCAGATTTCAGTGCGCAAATTGCAAGAAGCGATTCAAGCACCGGCACCACCTGCGGGACCACCAAAGGATCCACTACGCGACCTGCGGTTATGAGCCGCACAATTGAGACGTCGCCCTCGCGCTCGTCCCGATTAACACTGAAATTACCGATTACGATTAACGCGATCTATTTTTGTCAAATCGATCGAAACGATGGGTCTTTGGAGGACGCGAATGATGCGAAGAGAAGAAATAATTATTTATTTTTCTCAGTTCGGTGTTCATCTTCGGTGTCGATGAACGATGTAAGACGCGTCATCATGAGTCTCTGTAATTGTTCAAAGAAATTACAAACTGGTCAGTTTCGACTGCTCTAGTGGTTTTAGTGTTAAATCGCTTGCACTCTTTATCTACTGTTCCCTCATTTATTCACCCGTGAAGTATTTTTATTATTCATTCGCATATTTTTTGATTATTTATTATTCGCGTAAATGAATTATTTGTAGGTAGAAGGATATATTTATTTGTGATCTTTCGACTATCGAAATAATATACCGAAAGCAATTGCTACACTCGATGAGTGTATTTTAGCAAAGTTTGTTTCGCATGCTTTGTCAACATGCACAATTATTTTATTACTTGTCGTTATTTTATTACTTGTGTACAAAGAAATATGTGGACACGAGACTGTTAGAGCAGATTCTTACAAGGTAGCAGAATCGCGAAAGAATTTTATGTTGTTTACCTTTTCTTTGAATTTTAAAAATTCATCTGCAAATTGTAAAAACGTTTACCGTAGATTTCTTAATTTACTGTCGTTATCCTCGTATACGAATCGTATACGAATCGAATTCGAAGTCGAAGGAAAGGTTGTATTATTTTGTCTCGAATTTAAGCGAAGATTGTCTATGCTGGTAAAAGAAATTGGTTGAAAATGCCGATTCGTTATGAAGCACGATGACACATCTAAGACACCAATGAGAAACACCACAGATGACAAATACCAAATATAATACGACACAATAAAAGAAATGTCGTTGCGAATACTTGACGATACATATATACTTAAGTCGACTAGGATCGATCTAAGATTAACGACAACTCTATACTTAGTCTGGAATATATTTAACGCAAATGTAAATGAAGAGTATAATGTTATGATATAGCTTTGGAATTACTGTATTTTCGATGTTCGTGATACGTGTGATTACCGGAAAATCGTGCCAAAGGAAAGATAGTAATGATTTGTAGCAAGTTTTGTACAACGTTGTACAGTGTCCGAATACTTGCGTCTGGCTTTAGACGAAAACGACCGTCGCTATCGACATCGTATCGCAAATACGTACAACTATCTAACGCAACAGTGAGACTGTGCAGCATGTAGATGGTGCATCCGTAAATTTAGGTACTTACGACGAGCATCGTATACTTACAAGTGTATATAAGAACAAATGGCCGTAATGAAATCCGTCTCAACTTTTGTAAGGCGAACTTCGTGTAATAAACAATGCGGATAAATTAGCCCCGTTGGGGAACTGAAAGGTAAAAATTATGGAAATGCGAGTAGATAATATGAATGTTTATAACTTTTGCATATTTACCTCTTTCGAGAAATGTTTTGATAATGATTGATTTCGCAATTGATGTAAAAATTCTTTTATAAAAAGAAATTTTTTTTAAATATTATGTATATATCATAATGTGTCATAATATTAAATATTATTAATATTATGATACATTATCTTTTATTATAATATGCATATATAATGCATATAAATAATTTCCTTTATACTGTAAAAGCAATGCGTTATTTTTGTTTCATTTTTTGCTTCACTCCGTTACAAATTACATTAAAATTTGCAGTAAATATTAGTGAAATAATAAAGATGGCATCATCACGTCTTTCCATGAGTTTTACATTTCAGAATAATCAGTGAAAATAGATGTTAAAAACGATTGCAAATACCTCTTGATCGTGCCAAACATACGCTCTAGTCTTTACGTTTGAAGTTTCGAGTATTATAATTTTTCAATAGAATAAGCAATGCGAGATGCGCGTATGCGACGCGT